CTCAGACGTCTTGTCCCATACAGCCCTCGGACGTCTTGTCTCATACAGCCCCTCGGACGTCTTGTCCCATACAGCCCCTCTGACGTCTTGTCCCATACAGCCCCTCTGACGTCTTGTCTCATACAGCCCCTCTGACGTCTTGTCCCATACAGCCCTCGGACGTCTTGTCCCATACAGCCCTCGGACTTCTTGTCCCATACAGCCCCTCTGACGTCTTGTCCCATACAGCCCCTCTGACATCTTGCCTCATACAGCCCCTCTGACATCTTGTCCCATAAGCCCTCTGACGTCTTGTGTCATACAGCTTTCTGACGTCTTGTTTCATACAGCCCCTCTGACGTCTTGTCCCATACAGCCCCTCTGACGTCTTGTCTCATACAGCCCCTCTGACGTCTTGTCTCATACAAACCCTCTGACGTCTTGTCCCATACAGCCCCTCTGACATCTTGTCCCATACGCCCTCTGACGTCTTGTGTCATACAGCTTTCTGACGTCTTGTTTCATACAGCCCCTCTGACGTCTTGTTTCATACAGCTCCTCTGACGTCTTGTCCCATACAGCCCTCTGACGTCTTGTCCCATACAGCCCCTCTGACGTGTTGGCTCATACAGCCCCTCTGACGTCTTGTCCTATACAGCCCCTCTACCGTTGTCCCATACAGCCCCTCTGACATCTTGCCTCATACAGCCCCTCTGACATCTTGTCCCATAAGCACTCTGACGTCTTGTGTCATAAAACTTTCTGACGTCTTGTTTCATACAGCCCCTTTAATGTCTTGTCCCATACAGCCCCTCTGACATCTTGCCTCATACAGCCCCTCTGACGTCTTGTCTCATACAGCCCCTCTGACGTCTTGTCCCATACAGCCCCTCTGACGTCTTCTCATACAGCCCCTCTGACGTCTTGTCTCATACAAACCCTCTGACGTCTTCTCCCATACAGCCCCTCTGACGTTTTCTCCCATACAGCCCCTCTGACGTCTTGTCCCATACAGCCCCACTGACGTCTTGCCTCATACAGCCCCTCTGACATCTTGCCTCATACAGCCCCTCTGACATCTTGTCCCATAAGCCCTCTGACGTCTTGTCCCATACAGCCCCTCTGACGTCTTTTCTCATACAGCTCCTCTGACGTCTTGTCTCATACAGCTCCTCTGACGTCTTCTCCCATACAGCCCCTCTGACGTTTTCTCCCATACAGCCCCTCTGACGTCTTGTCCCATACAGCCCCTCTGACGTCTTGCCACTAAACAGCCCCTCTGACATCTTGCCTCATACAGCCCCTCTGACATCTTGTCCCATTAGCCCTCTGACGTCTTGTGTCATACAGCTTTCTGACGTCTTGTTTCATACAGCCCCTCTGACGTCTTGTCCCATACAGCCCCTCTGACGTCTTGTCTCATACAGCCCCTCTGACGTCTTGTCTCATACAAACCCTCTGACGTCTTGTCCTATACAGCCCCTCTGACGTCTTGTCCCATACAGCCCCTCTGACATCTTGCCTCATACAGCCCCTCTGACATCTTGCCTCATACAACCCCTCTGACATCTTGTCCCATAAGCCCTCTGACGTCTTGTTTCATACAGCCCCTCTGACGACTTGTTTCATACAGCCCCTCTGACGTCTTGTCCCATACAGCCCCTCTGACATCTTGTCCCATACAGCCCCTCTGACGTCTTCTCCCATACAGCCCTCAGACGTCTTGTTCCACACAGCCCTTTCTACCGTTGTCCCATAAGCCCTCGGACGTCTTGTTTCATACAGCCCCTCTGACGTCTTGTCCGATACAGCCCTCGGACGTCTTGTCCCATAAGCCCTCTGACGTCTTGTCCCATTCAGCCCTCTGACGTCTTGTTCCACACAGCCCCTCTACCGTTGTCCCATACAGCCCGTCTGACGTCTTGTCTCATACAGCCCCTCTGACGTCTTGTCCCATTAAGCCCTCTGACGTCTTGTTCCACACAGCCCCTCTACCGTTGTCCCATACAGCCCCTCTGACGTCTTGTCCCATACAGCCCCTCTGACGTCTTGTCCCATACAGCCCTCGGACGTCTTGTCCCATACAGCCCCTCTGACGTGTTGGCTCATACAGCCCCTCTGACATCTTGTCCCATAAGCCATCTGACGTCTTGTCATACAACTTTCTGACGTCTTGTTTCATACAGCCCCTTTAATGTCTTGTCCCATACAGCCCCTCTGACGTCTTGCCTCATACAGTCCCTCTGACGTCTTCTCCCATACAGCCCTCAGACGTCTTGTTCCACACAGCCCCTCTACCGTTGTCCCATACAGCCCCTCTGACGTCTTGTCCCATACAGCCCCTCTGACGTCTTGTCCCATACAGCCTTCGGACGTCTTGTCCCATTCAGCCCCTCTGACGTCTTGTCTCATACAGCCCCTCTACCGTTGTCCCATACAGCCCCTCTGACGTCTTGTCTCAAACAGCCCCTCTGACGTCTTGTCCCATTCAGCCCTCTGACGTCTTGTCTCATACAGCCCCTCTACCGTTGTCCCATACAGCCCCTCTGACGTCTTGTCTCAAACAGCCCCTCTGACGTCTTGTCCCATTCAGCCCTCTGACGTCTTGTTCCACACAGCCCCTCTACCGTTGTCCCATACAGCCTCTCTGACGTCTTGTCTCATACAGCCCCTCTGACGTCTTGTCCCATTAAGCCCTCTGACGTCTTGTTCCACACAGCCCCTCTACCGTTGTCCCATACAGCCCCTCTGACGTCTTGTCCCATACAGCCCCTCTGACGTCTTGTCCCATACAGCCCTCGGACGTCTTGTCCCATTCAGCCCCTCTGACGTCTTGTCTCATACAGCCCCTCTACCGTTGTCCCATACAGCCCCTCTGACGTCTTGTCTCAAACAGCCCCTCTGACGTCTTGTCCCATTCAGCCCTCTGACGTCTTGTTCCACACAGCCCCTCTACCGTTGTCCCATACAGCCCCTCTGACGTCTTGTCTCATACAGCCCCTCTGACGTCTTGTCTCATACAGCCCCTCTACCGTTGTCCCATACAGCCCCTCTGACGTCTTGTCTCATACAGCCCCTCTGACGTCTTGTCCAAAAAAGGCCCTCTGACCCATACAGCCCCTCTGACGTCTTGTCTCATACAGCCCCTCTGACGTCTTGTCTCATACAGCCCCTCTGACATCTTGTCCCATACAGCCCCTTTAATGTCTTGTCTCATACAGCCCCTCTGACGTCTTGTCTCATACCGACCTCTGACGTCTTGTCTCATACAGACCCTCTGACGTCTTGCCCCATACAGCCCCTCTGACGTCTTGTCCCATACAGCCCCTCTGACGTCTTGTCTCATACAGCCCCTCTGACATCTTGTCCCATATACAGTTCCTCCAACGCCTTGTCCCATATACAGCTCCTCCAACGTCTTGTCCCATATACAGCTCCTCCAACGCCTTGTCCAATATACAGCTCCTCCAACGCCCAGTCCCGTACAGATCCTTTAACTGTCTTTACAGTCTGTCTAATGTTTTGGAGAATACTTACGTTGCGGTTTTCCCAATTAACAGGATGACTTTGTGGCGTCAAGACATTGTCTAATCGCTTTCTGTAATGCACCTCTTTAGGGGAACCGGTTGAAACATGTGGTTTTGTAAACTCCAGCATTTCTTAAATGTGATTTTAACCAAAACATCTAAGCGCACCGCCGTCCTGGATAGCTTTCATTTCAGTCGGAGGGGTCAAAGTTCCTCTTATTGAGACGGGAATGTGAGGCACGTGATTCCGGGGCCTTGACATAGATCTGATACATGACGTCAACATCAGCCCCTCTTCTGATACATGGCGTTAACATCAGCCCTTCTTCTGATACATGGCGTTAACATCAGCCCTTCTTCTGATACATGGCGGTAACATCAGCCCCTCTTCTGATACATGGCGTTAACATCAGCCCCTCTTCTGATGCATGGCGTTAACATCAGCCCTTCTTCTGATACATGGCGTTAACATCAGCCCCTCTTCTGATACATGGCGTTAACATCAGCCCCTATCCGGATAAATGACGTTAACATCAGCCCTTCTTCTGATACATGACGTTAACATCAGCCCTTCTTCTGATACATGGCGTTACCATCATCCCCTTTTCTGATACAAACCGTTAACATCAAACCCTTTTCTGATACATGGCGTTAACATCATCCCCTTTTCTGATACAAACGGTTAACATCAAACCCTCTTCTGATACATGGCGTTACCATTAGCCCTTCTTCTGATACATGACGTTACCATCAGCCCCTCTTCTGATACATGACGTTACCATCAGCCCCTCTTCTGATACATGGCGTTACCATCAGCCCGACTTCTGATACATAGTGTTGACATCAGCCCTTCTTCTGATACATGGCGTTAACATCAGACCCTCTTTTGATACATAGCGTTAACATCAGCCCCTCTTTTGATACATGGCGTTAACATCAGACCCTATCCGCATAAATGACGTTAACGTCAGACCCTCTTCTGACACATAGTGTTACCATCAGCCCCTCTTCTGATACATGGCGTTACCATCAGCCCTTCTTCTGATACAAAGTGTTAACATCAGCCCTTCTTCTGATACATGGCGTTACCATCAGCCCCTCTTTTGATACATGGCGTTAACATCAGCCCTTCTTCTGATACATGGCGTTACCATCAGCCCCTCTTTTGATACATGGCGTTAACATCAGAGCCTATCCGCATAAATGACGTTAACATCAGTCCCTCTTCTGACACATGAATCACTGTAAGAAGAAGTCATGAACCATATGAACGGTATTACTATTAATGTTTCGGAATTTTACGAACGCTCTCGGCCAAACAGATTTTCTTGGCGAACTAAAAATAGTGTGTGTGTTTAAAAGGTAAATAATGTTTTTACGGCACCATTGTCATTCCTAGAAATATAACACACGTTGCACATTTTCCCCCTGGGTTTCAATACCAGATTCCAATTTCGTTAAATTGTTGCAACTTTTAGTGCAAACGTAGTGGCGTTACTTCCGGTTTCAACCACTTCCTGAAAATGTCTTCTTTGACACGACAAAAGCCTTCGAACCTTGACAAGAATCTCGGGAAAGGAAAACCCGAGGTTTGCATACTTGGACCCGCATACTTTTCACGAAATGGCTAATGCACATCGTAGTCACTTGTTTGTTAACCAGAAAAATAGTAGTTGTTTATATCTGCTACAAGAAACGCCCTCAGTTTTCGTGCACGTTGATAATGTCAGCAAGGCAAATTTATGATTTATGTTGAGTGAATTATTTGTTACACATCTATTGACTTCCACAATACGTTTAGACTTAGGGAGCCGTTAGAATGGTGTCCATTTAGCTAATCTATAGTAATTCAAAAAACCCTAAGGCACATCACGTTCCAGTATCACCCATGCAATACATGAACGGAGTCAATAGGCTAGTGTCGTGATGAAAGTGTTTGCTGAAGCCATGAGACGTGCACATGGACTGCACATAACATAACACTGCACTACTGAAGTGAGCCCCTGAATTACTTGTATGATGAATATTAATAGGTTATGTGTTGATTGAGTTGTTTGATTTGCATGATAATGGATCCATGTAACGTGGGCATGATGGTGACAGGAGGATTCCAAATGTTTGTTTTTCTGTTAACTTGTGGAATTAATAGCTTTCAACTGCTGCCTAAATAAGACAGCTTGTATGATGTGCTGAAGTAGACTTTTGTATCTATACTTTGACAGCCATTGTATCCAGAGAAGCCTGGAGTGAGTTAGTCCGTCTCTCCCTGAGTCACAGTCCCTATCCCACAGTCACCAGCCATGCACCATCACTGTCCCCATATCATACAACAAGGACCCTGAAACACTGTTGCTTGTTCAGAACAACATTATCAAAATTGATACTGATGCAGAAATTTCTTTTTTTGCATTACCCTCTCATCTTTATTTACATATGTGTTTTAAATCATTGTTTTAAACTGCTCCATTTAAATATAAGTATGATCAATCAATCCATGACAATAATTAGGAATTACTATGGTTATGTAAATCATGTCATCAACTAAATATTATTTGATAGATGAAAATGAAAATTCAATCCCATTTCATACAAATTCTCAATTCTCTAGCAATGTTCAGATGTATGACAACTTTAATCATAAGTCTATGAGAGCTGCATCTTAATTGTGCTAAGGCTATTCTAACACTTTTAGAATTTATATCAAGCAAATTGTATTCTATGACATATTTGTCATAAAAAGCTTGTCATAATTACATTTTTCTGAACATAAAACTTGCAATGACCATTTTTGTAAATATAGATCCTTAGGTCTTTGGTGTACAGATAATAACGACGAATCTGGATTTTTGTGAACTCAATGTTTATGCCAACATACCTACAGCTGCATCAGTATGATTGAAGAAAGAATGCATGGTTGTAATGGCCTATCATGGTATGTCTGTGGAGTCTGGTAGTAATGTCTTCCTTGGTCTATTGGCAGTCATACGTGTTGCCTTAATTAATGTTATTTGACTGTGATCTCAACTAAAGTCTGTGTTATTGCTGTGTGCAGCTATGTCTTCTGCCACCTGTAAATTTACTAGGATGCAAGACATAACAATTTAGCATGTTTTACCCCTTTTGTGTGGCCCTTCCTGTTGTAGCAGTACAACAAAATGTTTATTTTCATTGCTTCCCTTTCACTGATTGCTTCCCCTTATTGCTTTTGTACACACCCACAAGACCCATCAACTCACCATCATAAACGTTTGTGTCATTGACACCTTGTTGATCAACAGTGAATCTTAAAGCTTGTTTGATATTTCAGACACTGAGTTCTTGTGTAGATATGGATATATTCCAGCATGCAATCAAGAGCTAGTTTAACTATTTACACATAGACAGTTACTATGTAAGGGGGTTTTACAAGACACATTATATTCCTATGAGCTGACAGATTGGAAAAGAATGACAATAATTCCCATACGGGTCCTGAGTGATGCAAAAAGATATGGCTGTTTGAATTATGAAAAGTATTCAATTTGTACTTTTGCATGTAACCATGCATAACTGACATTTCTTTTGTGGTTAGAAAAACATTCAAACCATTCAAATATGATCATGGTTTCGAATCCCAGATTCGCTTGATTATATATTTGGTTTGTCAAATGCTCATGGATTCCACCTAAGTGGTCAACTTATAACATCTGCATCACTTTGGGCTTACCTCCCACATTTAGCTGACACGCCATAATAGAACTGGAATACTGCTTAAAATATGGTAAAGCCAAACTCACTGAATCAGTCGTACATGAATCTTGTGTCAGTTAAATTCTCTATCTGGCCAGTTCAATACATGTAAAAGGTAGGTGTGATTGAATTACACTAGGTTGATGTGTTATTCCTAGACGTGTACTTTCCTTTGCCTTCCTAAGACAACCCTCCAACAAATGTTTCATTTGTCTTCTCCTACAGAGCTTGAGATAAGCTGCATATTTGTATAAAATACACTTTATGTAAATATAAATATGCTATTGACATAAAACTAATGTATATATTACAACTATTAGATAAAACGATTGCGTATATTACAACTGTTAGAGACCTGTGAAGATCTGGGGTAGAATAGGTTTTCAGCAACCCATGCTTGCCATAAACATGATAAAAGGCTTGTCGCGAGAGGCTACTAATGGGATCGTGTCATCAGGTTCGCTGACTTGGTTGATGCATGTCATCGTATCCCAATTGCGTGGATTGGTGCTCATGGTGTCACTCACTGGATTGTCTTCATTTCCTTCAGTGAGTTTGATTCGCTATGCTCCTAGGTCTAACGTACCAATCAGAATGCGAGTTAAAACCACCCTCAATGTGGGGTTGGCGGTATTAACAACATAGCAACCAGTCCCATTAATTACGATAGAGTTTGCGAGAAATTGAATGTTGAAAAACTGACTGTCAGTCAAAAGAAAGCCCTCCAAAAAATTTTGGGTGGCAAGGATGTGTTCATGGCCATAAAAACAGGGCAGTGGCTTTGGTTTCTAGGCAATACGACTTACTTCCGTAACCCATTTTCTTTCCTTATCTTGACGTTAGATTGGTTGGTAAAAAGTTCGTGAAAATCAAGGGCAGGTAATTTAAGATAGCAAACACTGTGTGGATGGGCCCTGGGGTTAGTGTAGGTTTTATACAGAGGATGGAAACAGGTGGGTATGTAAACTTGTATACCCTCTAAACATTGAGGATTCCCAAGGAAAATCCAACCCCAGGGTAAAATATCCAAATAACCAACAACTTATCTAGAGCTCTGTCCTGTTCCCTTTGATGCATACCCCTCTGTAATGAGCATGATTAGATGCTGCCATCAATAAACTACGGTATATACATGTAGTGATACAGAAAAAATATGGCATGAAGGTGATAGTGTCAGGAATGTTCTGACAGGTGTACCTGCTTATTTGGCATATTGATGGCGTAATCATGAATCTTTATGTCAGAGACTTATCCTATCTCACACTTTGCATTTCTTATTCTTGTTTCAAACATGCTTATACAAAGCTTTCCAGCTTCTAAAAAGCAATCCATCATCCAGATCTATACTGACATATATACTGATATGTATATTTCTGTTGAAAATGTTTTTATTTTTATGTTTTATGCATTTGTATGTCTGTTTCAGGTGAATATCGCAACCTTTGCACTGCTGTTCTCCGAGATCGTCCAGTATTGTCAGAACAGAGTCTACACTGTGCCTGAACTCCAGAACAAGTGAGTATATGACTGGAGCTGGGATGGACCAGTTTAGTGGGAGGTGGACCAGTAGAGTGGGAGATGGACCAGTAGAGCAGAAGGTGGATCCATAGAGTGGGAGGTGGACCAGTAGAGAGGGAGGTGGACCATTGGAGAGGGAGATGGACCAGTAGAGTGGGAGATGGACCAGTAGAGCAGAAGGTGGATCCATAGAGTGGGAGGTGGACCAGTAGAGAGGGAGGTGGACCATTGGAGAGGGAGGTGGACCAGTAGAGCGGGAGATGGACCAGTAGAGAGGGAGGTGGACCACTAGAGCGGGGGGTGGACCATTGGAGTGGGAGGTGGACCAGTAGAGCGGGGGTGGACCATTGGAGAGGGAGGTGGACCAGTAGAGTGGGATGTGGAGCAGGAGGTGGACCAGTAGAGTTGGAGGTGGACCATTGGAGAGGGAGGTGGACCATTGGAGTGGGAGGTGGGCCATTGGAGAGGGAGGTGGACCAGTAGAGTTGGAGGTGGACCATTGGAGAGGGAGGTGGACCATTGGAGTGGGAGGTGGGCCATTGGAGAGGGAGGTGGACCATTGGAGAGGGAGGTGGGCCATTGGAGAGGGAGGTGGACCAGTAGAGTGGGAGGTGGACCATTGGAGTGGGAGGTGGGCCATTGGAGAGGGAGGCGGACCAGTAGAGTTGGAGGTGGACCATTGGAGTTGGAGGTGGGCCATTGGAGAGGGAGGTGGACCAGTAGAGTGGGAGGTGGACCATTGGAGAGGGAGGTGGACCATTGGAGTGGGAGGTGGATCATTGGAGAGGGAGGTGGACCAGTAGAGTTGGAGGTGGAGCGGGAGGTTGACCAGTAGAATGGAACATGGACCAGTGGAGTAGCAGGTGGACCAGTAGAGTGGGAGGCAAAGCAGTAGAGCGGGAGATAGAGTTGGAGATGGACCAGGAGAGTAAAGGGTGGATCAGTAGAGCAGGGGTGGACCAGTAGAGTAGGGGTGGATCAGTAGAGCAGGGGGTGGACCAGTAGAGTAGGGGTGGATCAGTAGAGCAGGGGGTGGTTCAGTAGAAGGGGAGGTGGACCAGTAGAGCGTGAGGTGGACAAGTAGAGTTGGAGGTGGAGGTGGAGGTGGAGCGGGAGGTTGACCAGTAGAATGGAACGTGGACCAGTAGAGTGGGAGGCAAAGCAGTAGAGCGGGAGATAGGGTTGGAGATGGACCAGGAGAGTAGAGGGTGGATCAGTAGAGCAGGGGGTGGACCAGTAGAGTAGGGGTGCATCTGTAGAGCAGGGGGTGGTTCAGTAGATGGGGAGGTGGACCAGTAGAGCCTGAGGTGGACCAGTAGATTGAGAGGTGTACCAGTAGAGGGGGAGGTGGACCAGTAGGCTGAGAGGTGGACCAGTAGAGGGGGAGGGGGACCAGTGGAGTGAGAGGTGGACTAGTGGAGGGGGAGGTGGACCAGTAGATTGAGAGGTGGACCAGTAGATTGAGAGGTGGACCAGTAGAGGGGGAGGTGGACCAGTAGGGTGAGAGGTGGACCAGTAGAGGGGGAGGGGGACCAGTGGAGTGAGAGGTGGACTAGTGGAGGGGGAGGTGGACCAGTAGATTGAGAGGTGTACCAGTAGAGGGGGAGGTGGACCAGTAGAGGGGGAGGGGGACCAGTGGAGTGAGAGGTGGACCAGTAGAGGGGGAGGGGGACCAGTGGAGTGAGAGGTGGACCAGTGGAGGGGGAGGTGGACCAGTAGATTGAGAGGTGTACCAGTAGAGGGGGAGGTGGACCAGTAGAGGGGGAGGGGGACCAGTGGAGGGGGAGGTGGAGTGTGAGGGGGACCAGTAGAGTTGGAGGTGGTCCAGTAGAGTGGGAGTTGGCCCAGTAGAGTGAGAGGTGGACCAGTAAAGTTGGAGGTTGACCAGTAGAATCGGAGGTGGACCAGTAGAGTGAGAGGTGGACCAGTAAAGTGGGAGGTTGACCAGTAGAGTGAGAGGTGGACCAGTAGAATCGGAGGTGGACCAGTAGAGTGAGAGGTTGACCAGTAGAGTGAGAGGTGAACCAGTAGAGTGGGAGGTGGACCAGTAGAGTGGGAGGTGGACCAGTAGAGTGGGAGATGGACCAGTAGAGTGGGAGGTGGACCAGTAGAATCGGAGGTGGACCAGTAGAGTGAGAGGTTGACCAGTAGAGTGAGAGGTTGACCAGTAGAGTGAGAGGTTGACCAGTAGAGTGAGAGGTGAACCAGTAGAGTGGGAGGTGGACCAGTAGAGTGGGAGGTGGACCAGTAGAGTGGGAGGTGGACCAGTAGAGTGAGTGGTTGACCGCTAGAGGGGGAGACAAACTAGTAGAGTGGGAGAGGGACCAGTAGAGCGGGAGGTGGACCAGTAGAGTGGGAAGCGGACCAGTAGAGTGGGAGGTGGAGGACTATGATCTATTTCTTGTTTCCTCCTCCACAGACTTGCAGAGTTAGGCCAGCATGTTGGATCCCATCTGCTTGATGTCCTCTTTCTCCGTGAGAAAGGATTCAAGCGCGAAATCAAGCTGCTGCAGATGCTCATCTTCATCAAGTCCAATGTCTGGAAGGTCAGTCCAGCTCACCATTCAATTGTTCTTGTCCACCAGTTTGCTAGGTTCTAGGTCTCACCTTCAACTCGTGTTTGTAAATGCCTTCTGTGTGAACTGCTGCCATCACTTGTATCCCGTATATAACAGGATCTTGTGTTCAGCCGGCCGACAAACAAGATTTCCTTCAATGTGTTGGGGTTAGATAAATAGGGCATGTGTAGGTGGACAGTTCAGGTCACCAGGGTCTGGATATGGGGCATGTGTAGGCGGACAGGTCAGGTCACCAGGTGCATGTACAGGGCATGTGATGAGGTGGCATATCCAGCTGCTAAATGTACAACCATGCTGAGACTTTGGCAGTTCACGGAATGTGAAACTTGTGCTGGGACCCTAAAACTGTACCTGGAGTATTTGTGTGTTTCTTGGAATCATGTAATTGTCTAGATATGTTTGTATCTGTTTTGCTATATGGATAACATTTTGCAGATGCCATGTTCAGTTTTACCTCTCTCAAACTCTGTTATTTGCCATGGAGAAAGCATGGTGATATTACCTTTATATGCTGCTATGTGATAACTTGGGAAAGTAGCTCTCTCTGATGGCTATGTTAAGTGCAATGAACTGATTCTACAGACTGGACACATGTCCCACTGTCAGCATCTGGACCTGCCACTATGGTTCATCAGTTCCTATCAATAATCTGTATTTTTACTTGTTACAGACATTATTTGGAAAGGAGGCTGACAAACTGGAGCATGCCAACGATGACGAGAGAACATGTATCCTTCTTCTGTGTTGGCGAAGGGTTGTCAGGTTTGAGTCAGGGGTGGAAACAATAAGATTATACCACAGAGCCAGAACTTTATAATCTGAAAGGAATTTCAACAAGGTTAAATATGAAGATTTATTACCTACGAGGGCAAATATATTGGGGTTCATAAAAATCGTGTCATGAGAAAACAGTGTATTGTTTCCGTCATCTGGATGACATTGTTGACGGCATTCGACAAATTGTGGTTCCACTGATGTTGCTGTCCTTATAGGTAAACACTCAAATAGTCACTGTTATAAATAGAACATTTTATTTGTGTTCATGTCATACTATGTTTACGACACTCGTGCCGTAAACATAGTATGTCATGAAGACTTATAGAATATCCTCTATTTATTGGTTATTGGTTTCTCCTTAATCACATTGTTTATCCAATCTCAACTCGTTCCTTAATCCTGTGACAGATTATATAATAGAAAAGGAGTCTATGGTGAACAAGTTCATATCGGTACCTAAAGATAAAGGTAACTTAGACACGCACTTGGGATGAGCAGTTCATATGCTTATAGTCTTTGGGTAGCTGTGGATCTGACTGTGACTTTGTGAGGGTGAGAGGGGATGTGTTGACAATCAGTGTGTGATGGTGTGTTGTCCAGGTATCCGTGGATCTGTGACTTTGTGAGGTTGAGAGGGGATGTGTTGACAATCAGTGTGTGATGGTGTGTTGTCCAGGTATCCGTGGATCTGACTGTGACTTTGTGAGGGTGAGAGGGGATGTGTTGACAATCAGTGTGTGATGGTGCGTTGTCCAGGTATCCTTGGATCTGACTGTGACTTTGTGAGGGTGAGAGGGGATGTGTTGACAATCAGTGTGTGATGGTGTGTTGTCCAGGTACCCGTGGATCTGACTGTGACTTTGTGAGGTTGAGAGGGGATGTGTTGACAATCAGTGTGTGATGGTGTGTTGTCCAGGTATCCGTGGATCTGACTGTGACTTTGTGAGGTTGAGAGGGGATGTGTTGACAATCAGTGTGTGATGGTGTGTTGTCCAGGTATCCGTGGATCTGACTGTGACTTTGTGAGGTTGAGAGGGGATGTGTTGACAATCAGTGTGTGATGGTGTGTTGTCCAGGTATCCGTGGATCTGACTGTGACTTTGTGAGGGTGAAATTGGATGTGTTGACAATCAGTGTGTGATGGTGTGTTGTCCAGGTATCCGTGGATCTGTGACTTTGTGATGGTTGAGAGGGGATGTGTTGACAATCAGTGTGTGATGGTGTGTTGTCCAGGTATCCGTGGATCTGTGACTTTGTGAGGTTGAGAGGGGATGTGTTGACAATCAGTGTGTGATGGTGTGTTGTCCAGGTATCCGTGGATCTGACTGTGACTTTGTGAGGTTGAGAGGGGATGTGTTGACAATCAGTGTGTGATGGTGTGTTGTCCAGGTATCCGTGGATCTGACTGTGACTTTGTGAGGTTGAGAGGGGATGTGTTGACAATCAGTGTGTGATGGTGTGTTGTCCAGGTATCCGTGGATCTGACTGTGACTTTGTGAGGTTGAGAGGGGATGTGTTGACAATCAGTGTGTGATGGTGTGTTGTCCAGGTACCCACGGATCTGACTGTGACTTTCTCAGGTTGAGAGGGGATGTGTTGACAATCAGTGTGTGATGGTGTGTTGTCCAGGTATCCGTGGATCTGACTGTGACTTTGTGAGGTTGAGAGGGGATGTGTTGACAATCAGTGTGTGATGGTGTGTTGTCCAGGTACCCGTGGATCTGACTGTGACTTTGTGATGGTTGAGAGGGGATGTGTTGACAATCAGTGTGTGATGGTGTGTTGTCCAGGTACCCGTGGATCTGACTGTGACTTTCTCAGGTTGAGAGGGGATGTGTTGACAATCAGTGTGTGATGGTGTGTTGTCCAGGTACCCGTGGATCTGACTGTGACTTTGTGAGGTTGAGAGGGGATGTGTTGACAATCAGTGTGTGATGGTGTGTTGTCCAGGTACCTGTGGATCTGACTGTGACTTTGTGAGGTTGAGAGGGGATGTGTTGACAATCAGTGTGTGATGGTGTGTTGTCCAGGTACCCGTGGATCTGACTGTGACTTTGTGAGGTTGAGAGGGGATGTGTTGACAATCAGTGTGTGATGGTGTGTTGTCCAGGTACCCGTGGATCTGACTGTGACGTGTTGACAATCAGTGTGTGATGGTGTGTTGTCCAGGTACCCGTGGATCTGACTGTGACTTTGTGAGGTTGAGAGGGGATGTGTTGACAATCAGTGTGTGATGGTGTGTTGTCCAGGTACCCGTGGATCTGACTGTGACTTTCTCAGGTTGAGAGGGGGATGTGTTGACAATCAGTGTGTGATGGTGTGTTGTCCAGGTACCCGTGGATCTGACTGTGACTTTGTGAGGGTGAGAGGGGATGTGTTGACAATCAGTGTGTGATGGTGTGTTGTCCAGGTACCCGTGGATCTGACTGTGACTTTCTCAGGTTGAGAGGGGATGTGTTGACAATCAGTGTGTGATGGTGTGTTGTCCAGGTACCCGTGGATCTGACTGTGACTTTGTGAGGTTGAGAGGGGATGTGTTGACAATCAGTGTGTGATGGTGTGTTGTCCAGGTACCCGTGGATCTGACTGTGACTTTGTGAGGGTGAGAGGGGATGTGTTGACAATCAGTGTGTGATGGTGTGTTGTCCAGGTATCCGTGGATCTGACTGTGACTTTGTGAGGTTGAGAGGGGATGTGTTGACAATCAGTGTGTGATGGTGTGTTGTCCAGGTACCCGTGGATCTGACTGTGACTTTGTGATGGTTGAGAGGGGATGTGTTGACAATCAGTGTGTGATGGTGTGTTGTCCAGGTATCCGTGGATCTGACTGTGACTTTGTGAGGTTGAGAGGGGATGTGTTGACAATCAGTGTGTGATGGTGTGTTGTCCAGGTATCCGTGGATCTGACTGTGACTTTGTGAGGGTGAGAGGGGATGTGTTGACAATCAGTGTGTGATGGTGTGTTGTCCAGGTATCCGTGGATCTGACTGTGACTTTGTGAGGGTGAGAGGGGATGTGTTGACAATCAGTGTGTGATGGTGTGTTGTCCAGATATCCGTGGATCTGACTGTGACTTTGTGAGGGTGAGAGGGGATGTGTTGACAATCAGTGTGTGATGGTGTGTTGTCCAGGTACCTGTGGATCTGACTGTGGCTTTCTCAGGTTGAGAGGGGATGTGTTGACAATCAGTGTGTGATGGTGTGTTGTCCAGGTACCCGTGGATCTGACTGTGACTTTGTGAGGTTGAGAGGGGATGTGTTGACAATCAGTGTGTGATGGTGTGTTGTCCAGGTACCCGTGGATCTGACTGTGGCTTTCTCAGGTTGAGAGGGGATGTGTTGACAATCAGTGTGTGATGGTGTGTTGTCCAGGTACCCGTGGATCTGACTGTGACTTTGTGAGGTTGAGAGGGGATGTGTTGACAATCAGTGTGTGATGGTGTGTTGTCCAGGTATCCGTGGATCTGACTGTGACTTTGTGAGGGTGAGAGGGGATGTGTTGACAATCAGTGTGTGATGGTGTGTTGTCCAGGTATCCGTGGATCTGACTGTGACTTTGTGAGGTTGAGAGGGGATGTGTTGACAATCAGTGTGTGATGGTGTGTTGTCCAGGTATCCGTGGATCTGTGACTTTGTGAGGGTTGAGAGGGGATGTGTTGACAATCAGTGTGTGATGGTGTGTTGTCCAGGTATCCGTGGATCTGACTGTGACTTTGTGTTGCAGGCAACTTGAACTGTGCAGCATTTACAGCTGGGATCCTGGAAGCAGTATTAAATGGGGCAAATTTTGTGAGTGTTTTCTTTTTGCCTTTATGAATGTTATGAATTATCAGGCCTAAAACGTACAGTAATTGTACCTGAGCAGAACTTTTGAGTTTAGGGTTGGAAATAATGGACGTTTTGTTTTATTGTTGTTTAAAAAAGGGGGATATTGCAATCACCATGTCCGTCAGCCGGACTCCAGAACTGTTAGATATTTCTTGTTGAAACTTTCTATGCAGATCAGTCTAGTGGGGAACTGGTGCCTTTTGATGATTTGGGATTTTGTTCTTTATATTTTGTTTTCTTTCATGATTTTCATGATGAAAACAAGTTGTTTTTTATGTTTCCAGAGCACAACTTCAAAACCATTAAATATTTCTTTGAAACTTGCTATTCAGAGGAGACTAGTGGTGAACATAGCGCCTTTTGATGATTTGGGATTTTTTTTTGTTGTTGATTTTTTTATGTTTTCATGGTGACAAGTTGGACTTTACTGAAAATAAGGATTGTGCTGGTTTCTGGAGCAGAACTCCAATACCGTTGAATATTTCTTGTTGAAACTTTCTATGCAGATCAGTCTAGTGGTGAACTGGCACCTTTTGATGATTTTGGATTTTGAAAAATACTGAACAGCATTATCTTTTTCTTCACTGAACTGAAGGTATCAAATTGGCAAAGAAACAAAAGTGGGGTATTAGTAGCCAAACATTTCCGAATTACACCAGAACAGCGGGATATGTCATCTCCTGATGACTCTTTTTTTTTTATCTGGTATCCATAGTTACTGACATCTGATCCGGACGTGTAAGCTTGTCAATTCCAGAATGACGCTCTCTGTTTCAGCCTGCCAAGGTCACCGTCCACTGGCACAAGGGGACCACCTTCATGATCAAATTTGATGAATCTGTTATTGCCCGGGATAAGCACATCGATGGCAGGTGAAGATCGGGGTGTTGATCAAGGGGACTGCTTTACTCTGTGGCTGTGTGAGAGATATGGATAAATGGAGCTGTAACAGTGTGGTAGTTCAACAGATCTGCTCTAACACCATGAAGGAAAAACATTCTGTTGACCAGGGATGAGGGCGTGGAGTCTCGCCAAGCAGCCACAGAAACTGCCGCTGAAAGTTGGGTACCAGTAATGTTGGTCATCGTGTTGGGCAAATGGATAAATATATTAAGAAATGTGTTGTTTGGTTGGTTAAAATAAAGTTCCATGTATAGTTTTTGTGTATGTCACTTTGCTCAGTTGAATAACAATTGATAAATAGGATAAAGCAGCCAGTAGTTGATTGTTCCAATTTAAAATATTTATTGTCTTTTCTAGTTTAAACCTAGCAACAAACATGGTTCAGTGGCCAGCCAGTCAGTGTGCTTCATGGCACCATTAGAAATACTGCATAAGAGGCTTCACCATCCACAATATGATGATGATAAAGTCTCCAATCTCATTAAAATCAGATCTTAGTTTTCGCTACCACTAAACAAAGATCTGAGGACATCCCATTACGGGTCACGTCAGAACGACCTTTCGCAAATTTTTACCGACCAATGAAATGACTGACAAGAAATCGAATTTAGCCAATCAGAAGGCAGCTTTCTCGAGCTTTAAGACACTAGTTTCAAACTGGCGACTATGTATTATTGATTAAAAAATTTAAAGCTGATAAGAAGAACATTCTGGAATGGCTCATAGATGGCCTAGATTGTAATGGATATAATCATAAAACCTGTAACTGTCGTTCGGAATACCCCGTGTTAAATATTTCGTTGTTGAAAACACATTCCGACTGTCACTAACATGATCTGGTTTGCGACGCTCTGATTGGTTAGATGAAAGGTCAGTCTGACGTGACCCGTAATGGGATGTCCTCAGATCTTTGTTTAGCGATAGCAAGAACTAAGATCTGATTTTAATGAGATTGATAAAGTCTCGGGAGTAGGAAAGTAACGCTGTGTAGTACGGACTTGCTGATACACTATGTATCACCTGCAAGGATAAAATCAGCCACTGTGGGCCAATACTTTGTGTGTTTACATGTGCACTGATGCTGCATCAACCTGGCTGAATATACCACAGTCATCGTCCCGCATCTTCGCGAGGCAAGAGAGTTAACTGACTTTAAAAGTCCAGTTTCCACTGTTGCCAAACTAGGCTGGAATTCCTGGGCTCGATCGTAGCACCACCAGTGGTTATTTTGAGTTACCCTCCTGTTGACCAGTCAGATTCCACTTCTCATATCATTTGCATTTGCTTCTAACAAAATGGCAGCATCCAAACAAGACGATCAATCAAGATCTATATTGTCATAAAACGGGTCTTACCTCACGAAGTATATCAAATCATTTGAGAAACTTGATTAAAAACATGACAAGATTTGGAAAATATCTGTCGACACCCAGTTGGCAGTACACATGCTTTGCAAATCCTGCAGTCGACCGAAATCTGCATATTGAAATCCATGTTGTTTACATCCGGATGTCAATTTTGTTGGGTGATTTTGATAGGACTATGCATAGACTCGTTAGTCCAGCCAAACTATAACTCCATAATCCCAGCCTAGTTTTGCAATGGTGGAAACTGGACATGTACAGTCAGTTAACTCCACTGCCCAGTCATCTAAGGCTGCGTCCCTTGGGCACGCCAGAAACCTATGATTGTGGGTTCAAATCCCAGTTCGCCCCAATGATGTTTCTAGGTTTGTCAGCACCATACCCGTGCTCGTGGGTTTCACCGAAGTGGTAAATGTCTGCATTACTTCGGGCTTTCCTCCCACATTAAGCTGACAAACAGCAATATAACTGGAATACTGTTAAAAGCGACGTAAAACCGAACTCACTCACTCACCCTTGCCTCAAGAAGATGTACCACAGCAACCATATTGACAGAACTATTATGGACATTACTCAAAGACGGGTTTTTTTCAAAATGGATACGAAATTGACCTGCATAGTTAGAAGTAGTATATATGTTTCCTTGTTTGCGATATTTTAAATTATGATGTAGATTTGACTTTGGCTCTTCAACTACACTGAAAGCTGAAACTACATATGGCCATTACTCAGCCATTTCTGTTCAGAATGTAAGTAAATTGTGTAATTAGTAGTTGGCTCAACACAAATGCTGAAATTTGATTTTTTACTTTGCATGTTGACCATGCTTGAATCCAAAGTTCTATATGGCCAGCCCTATTGAAACACCTCTGTGTGTCTGTTACCCAGCCCTTTCTTCTCAAATGGAATTAAATTTGGTGTGTGTAGTTAGTAGTGGGGCTCAACAGACATGTTCAATGTTTTTGCACTATCTTAAAAATTTACCAAATTTTGACCATTCTCTCATATTGTCAAAGGCATAAATCTTGGCTCTGTCAACCTCTCTCCTGAAACTGACAAGAGGCTGAACTGTGGCATGTATGTTCCTCATGTTGACATTGTAGTTTCTTCAGCTGCATCTTTGTTGACATTTGAAACTGTTCACTCCATGTCAAGGTGAACTACAGTACCCTTGGCACTATTTTCTGTTATTTCAGTTTTGTAATTGTAATGTATTTGGCTTTTATCACAGCATCCGTTATTTCACCCCGACTCATAAATAAACAAATAAATGTGGATTCTTTGTCATTTGCATACTGTTAGCCAATGAGCACATGTATTAAATCTCTAGAATGAATGTGAACTGACCTAGAGCTGTCAAGCAGTGTTGAACTCTGTAAAGGTCAAGTTGATGACTCTAGTTAGGATAAAGCAGTGATACTTCCAGTTATTCTCATAACCGCATATGACCATAGATAAGCCAGATTTTGAGGACAAGAGAAAATATTTTGTAGAAGGGGGTCGGCCTATGTCAAGGTTACACTTTCATCAAAATCTTATTGTTGGTAAAAAACAACTTCATTGTATCACTTCAGGTGAATGAACAACACTATAACAAACTATGTCAATGAAAATTTGCAATTAAACATCACTTAACATGATGGTTCTAGGCATGGTTTAAAATGCACGGGTTAAGATTACCGTGTGTATTGTTTTGTAAACTAAGCCGGAAATAGCAATCAGCTGTACACAAATTTTCTTATATTTTCCAGTGATTACGTTAAAACATACCGAAAAATATAACGGAAAAGAAGTTTGATATATATAACTACTATTTTACTTCGTATAATCTAGGTCATATAACTTTACAGCACTATTGACTGAGCAGTAACCATGGCAACTAGTCACACACTCCTTGCAGCTCCACATATATTTGCGTATTCTTGTGATTCTGTGTTGTGTATGTTAAAGCTACCATTTGTTTTTCATGTCATGATACAATGTTCTGTATATATATTAAAAAAAATAATACTGTGCACATTTTCATCTCCTATGTGGGGTTCTACACCAGTCCAGAGACGACAACCAGAGCGAAGATTGTAGTTTCATATTCTACCGTGACTTTCGAAATTATTAATCTGATTGAACAAAATGACATGGTATTGTCAATATTTTATTCTGGAAAATATATACATTTGAACAATAAGTATGTACATATCATCTGGGAAGTACAACGAATATGTACAAAACAATCACTGTGATACATCATCATCATAATAATGATAATACCAGCTGTGGTAACGCTATCTCACCGCCCCGAGGTATCCTAAAAGGCCGCTGGGACTTGCTTACCAACAAATGAATTATCTTGCAAAATAACGTCTATCTTTGGCATGTAACAGTGATGTAGCAATTTATTTTAAAATGTGGACTTTTGCTGGTTGGTTGCGTGGTCTTTTGTCAACATCGCACTCGGAATTATTCCAGCTATATGATGGCAGTTGGTAAATCCAGTTACCAACATCAATCCACGCAACTGGGATACGATGACATGCATCAATCAAGTCAGCGAGCCTGACCTCATTAGTCGCCTCATACTACAAGCATGGGTTGCTGAAGACCAGTTCTCGCCCTGATCTTCTCAGGGTTGGTGTTTTGGAAATATGTGGCTTGACACGCACTGACGTGTGGGTTCAGATGGTGATCATATCTGTTCTATACATTAGGCAATCATCGGGATTGACGATACCTTATTCAGAGAATGAACTGTGAGAAATTACAGATTATACGTCCCTCATGAATGGTTAAATTACATTAAGTAATACGTTACAACTTGTTATACCGAGGCTGTTGTCTCCCACAACTGCTCTTATAGCAAAATCTACCAAAGAGATCTCAATTACCTCATGCAGCACGTGTGTAGCCACCTCAGCTGCCATGTGACACCCTTCACTCTTTGAAGTCTCGCCGTCCTCCACCCCTGCAACCAGGAGTTACGGGAGGTGCTGTAAATTCCTCTCTTCTCGGGATCCCCACGATCATTGCCCGCGGTTCAGGGTTCCTTGCGGGGACACCCGGTGCGCCCTGTGCGAGGGTCTGGGGCCTGAGGCGTTCGAGCGCTACAGGCTGTACGTGAAGTCTGTTTCCACCCTTGTGGTGGCCGGCTCGTCCAGTCGGTGTCCCCTTGCGGGTACCACCTCCATAGCTGCGGCGGATCCCTTTGCGGCCCTTGGGCTGTCCGGGGATTCCGTCACAGCATTACTTTCTCGACTTGTGGACTCCAAGCTGGCGGCCTTATCTCAGGATAGGCCGCTGGCTGTTCCGTCCCCGGCCTCTTTGGTGGCCGCGGGGTCCACCGGTACGTTGGCGGCTTCCGTGGTCACCGGTCCTTCCCCCGAACCGTTGCTATCGGTTAAGGACCGCGTGGCTATGGTATATGCCCTCTTTGAGGACATGCCTAAGCCCCTGTCGGAACCACGGGGAATCCACGGCTCCGTGGGTTCAGCTGAGGTATTCGAGGAGTCTTCCGACAAGGCTTTCCCCGCATCAACCTTGCAGCAGCTGGACACCCTCGCTCAGTGCTCCATGCTTGCCATGTCTCACGGAGACACGTACTTGGACCGAGATCAGCGCATTTACAACTGCTTGCTCAGTTTAAATGCTTCCCTTGAGTACGTTGCCGTGGCTTCGGCCTTTCTTTCATGCACGTGCCATTTTCTGAGGCGCCAAGCGTATCTTGCCGCTTCGGGGTTGGACGCTGCCAACCAGGAAGTGCTCCTTTCGCAGCCTTGGTCTGCGTGGACCCTTTTTAACAACAAATTCCCTGGGGTTCTGAAAGAACAACAGGCTTCTTCGTCTGCCGAAGCCTCTCGGCACACACTCGATCTTTGTTGGGACCCTGCATAGATGCCTGGGTGCTGCCCCTAAGCTGCGGCCGGCAAGTCTAAGGGGTCGGGACCTTCTTCCGGGAAGAAGCCCCGCCCTGAGGGCTCTGGTAAGGGCATTTAGCAGCCCTTTCGTCGGAAGAAGGGGAACTGGGGGACGGCAAGTCCAGGTGACTCTCACTGGAGGGGTTCATATGCCGGCAGCGTCAACTTCGGTTGGCCCGTAGGCGAGCCCGAGTCACTTGGCCCTGGACAGTTGTGCCTGCCGCAGCCTGTCAGGCCCCCCTCTCCTTCCCCAGTGGGAGCCTCCAGACTTACTGGGAGAACTGGGAACAAGTGTTCGACGACCCGTGGGTGGTCAACACGATCCGGTACGGCTATCGGCTAGATCTGAAAGCGGATCCGCCGCTCACCGTTGCCCCGTTGGAAGGTTTCTGTTCGGAAACCGATCTTCCGATATCAGCAGGTTGGTGGAGAAGAGGGCGGTACGGGAGTTGGCCCTACCAGAAATAACACCGGGGTTTTACTCCAGGATATTTCTCGTACCCAAGAAGGACAGTGCCAAAATCAGAATGATTCACAATTTGAAGTCATTCAACGGGTTTTACCTGGACAAGCCGCCCAAGTTCAGAATGTTGACCTTGGCGGACCGGAAAGCTCTGATCATGCCCGCCGACTGGCTCGCATCGATCGACCTGAAGGATGCTTATCTGCATGTTCCGATCCATCCGGACCATCACAAGTATCTCAGGTTTGTCTTTCAAGGCAGGCATTACGAGTGGGTAGCACTCCCATTCCGCCTATCATCCGCTCCCTGGACAACTCGCTAGTGGCGAATCGGATGACAGATGTGCTGTCTCGTCAACTCGATCTCGCCCTTCGGCTCTTGGAGCAATTGGGGTGGATTGTCAATCTCCCCAAGAGCGAGTTAACCCCCTAACAGAACTTGAAGTTCATCGGAGGTCAGTTCACACACGTGTGAACAAACTGGGGGGAACCCACAGTCACTCACTACTTGGTCTAACGTTCGAGTTTTACGCTCTGGTGGACAGTATCCCGTGCCAGGTACGCGCCCATCTTCCTGGTGTGCGGAACGAACTGGCAGTCGCACTGTCGAAGCCTCGGAATCCGAGCCCAACGGAGTGGATGCTCAATCAAGTAGTTTTTCAGTGGCTGTGCGAAGGTCTGGGTCGTCCAATGGTCGACCTGTTCGCAACCAGGTTCGTTGTTTGTATCACCAGTCCCGGACTCGAGGGCCATCGATCACGATGCTCACGCGTTAGACTGGACGGGCATGGACGCTTATGCTTACCCGCCGACACGTAAATACCACTCATTCTAAGCCGGCTCCGAGGAGTTTGCTGTCGAATGTTGCTGATCACGCCCATGTGGCCGAACAGATCGTGGTACCCCGACCCCAGGTCACGCAGTAGCCAATTCCACTGACTCTGAGACCGGATCTACTGATCCACCCTAACACCCGTAAACTTCATCCAAACACAGGGCAGTTCAATCTGCACGCGTGGATGTTGTCACCGAGCGACTGAGGAGTAAAGGTTTTTCACGAAGTGGTGTTGCAAACATCACATTCATTCGCCAGATAATTATCTGTGCAGGATATTGCTCGTTTCATGTCTCACTTACGAGAGACCCAGAAACTCTCCGGGGGTTCCATTGCCAACTATGTCTCTTCCGTTGCTACAGTACAGGACGTTGCTATGGGTATGGGTCTCTCAAAAGAGCCGGTGATTCGGGGTATTATCAAGGGTTTCAAACAGCAAGATCTTAAGAAAGGCCACCTTCGGGCTCCGGCCTGGTATCTTACCTTAGTGTTGAAATCACTTTGGAAAGCTCCGTATGAACCCTTGAGTAGTGCTTCGTTTCGGCATGTGACTTGGAAAACAGCATTTCTCCTCTCCTTTGCCACGGCGGCACGAGTGTCTGAGATTCATGCACTCGATGTCACTGAAGTATGATTCGATAGGGGCGACGAAGGAGCAAAGAATCAGAAATTTGGCCAAACGGAGAGAGAATTCACTGTAAGATCACTCAAGGAAATCTTACATCCTGCTGATACTGAGGACAGATCACTGTGTCCGGTTAGGGCCCTTAAATATTATTTTAAGCCCTCGAATGAACGCAGACAAGGGCGTGACCGTCTGTTCATATCGTGTAACCCTAATCAGACTGCTGACATAACTTGCAACTCGATTGCGTTATGGCTTCGTTCTGTCATCAATCTGGCGTACTGGTCTCAGGGGATACCGGTTGCAGGGTCAAACCCGCACGAGATCAGGGCGCTAGCGGCAACTTTTGCCCTACACTCCAATATCTCTGTTCACAGAATATTGAGAGGTTGTTTCTGGCGTTCTGACTCGGTTTTTGCCAATCATTACCTCAGAAAGGTTTCTGATGATTACGTTCTGTTGTGTATTCCAACCTTGTAATGCATGCTTACAAATACTGGAATTAGGTCTTGCGCCCAATGCATACTTGAAGTAGGCTTGCTCTGGGATATACGGTCCGAATGAAATTAATTTCCCCCTTTCCGACTGTTTAACCTGATATATGATTTAGCTCACACAGATACTATGTTATCCTCCGCTGCGGCGATGAAATACCTATCCAGTGAGGCCGTTTGGAGTCACCAATCGTTTGGCAAAGACGATTGAGCCTTACGGTATGCGCTTGACAGTGCTTTGGTATTCCTATAGGGTAACGCCAAGCTGGGAGCATGCGCACCAAGTGCTTCCGCCTTGTTTACTTCCGCTGGTCGGTAGGAACACGAGCAGTCAGGTTCGGGTTGTAGGTGCTCCCCACCGCCTACTGTGGTAATCAGCCTCGGTATAACAAGTGGTAACTTATTACTTAAGGTAATTTGTAGAATTTTCCTATTCGGAATATTCTATAGTAATACGTTACCACTTTGGCTGATCCCCCCCCCCCCCCCGACCGTCCCCCACCCAAGCACTTGCTCTCGCTAGAGACAAGAGTGAAAGGTATCACATGGCAGCTGAGGTGGCTATGCACGTGCTGCATGAGGTAATTGAGATCTCTGTGGTAGATTTCGATATAAGAGCAGTTGTGGGAGACAACAGCCTCGGTATAACAATTGGTAACGTATTACTTTAGAATATTCCGAATAGAAAAATTCTACAAGTCCCAAGTCTTTGGGAAGAAAAAAACAGTTTGAACTTCCCTGAAAGTAGTCTATTGTTAAGATGACAATGTAATCAATTTGTGACCACATGAACAATGGATGATGTCGTATATTTTTCTCGACAATAAAGCACTGACTTTACTAGCTTCAACTGACCGATCAATGCATGTGTGGATATATCACACAGTTATTACACATGATCTCTCTACCCACAAGGGCAACATAGGGCAAGGGACAGTAAAGATGTACCTTCAAGGGCTTCGAGTGGTAGCACTGTGACATAAGCACTGGGTGGGTAATGAGCTGGGTCTGTGCACAAATCTTGAATGGGCATGATTGATTGTGTTCATAATTGGTTGCTGAGAAATGGGTTTCCGAAGCTATAGGTCTCCTGAAACGTTTGTACAATTACTAGTCATCAACACTGCCACGTGTAGTGCCGCGTCACCACCACGTCCGTCTAAGTAGGGAACAAAATGACAGCAGGGTTAGCATCTGCCGGCCATCTCTCCCTAGTGAGGTAATGATACAAGCCCCACAACCTGGTCCAGTCAGTAAATCTTCAGTCAAATCCATTCACAAAAACAATAGTGTAACGGGCCTACAAAATAAGCCACAACTAACAACCCAAGATAACAAACAAGGCAGATATAAACATGATTTCCTCTACACAGGTACAGGGACATCTTGCCATGATCACAAGATCTCTGCTAGGTATATGTAGGATAAGTGTGATCAAGATCAGTTGTCATTTGCTGACGTCCAATGTCAATGAAAGAAAGATACAAGGATGAGATATGTATTGATGAAAGTGATGCATGTGTAAGAAATGTCCTGTACATAAAGTCCAACATAATATTGCACAGAGTGTGGACAGTCGTCCATGGAACATCATCTAATCAGAGCTCGATGCAATGTGGAGGAGGTGCTCTTGGATGCAGATTTCTGGGTGGTCTTCTTCTTCTCATCAACTGCAAAACATTTCCAGAGTCGCAGCGTCTCGTCGGCGCCGGCGGACACCACAGTGGTGCCATCTGGTGACATGGCCATGTGAAGCACCCTGGCAGTGTGGCCCGTCAGCTCTGCTATCTTCGACATGGCCGGGTACTTCCAGATGATCAGCTGGTTCTGGGCAAACCCATGACTTGAGATGAGTTCTCGGTGCTCTGTCGACCACAGTAGAGCACACACCTGCAGGAAGAATTAACAAATGAAAATCACTGCCAAAAGGATATTTAATTTTTTATCTTTCCTTAGAGACAAATTTAAAAGAGAGTTTTTCAGTATTTTTCCCAAACTTTTCATGATGGGTGTTGGCAGATGTGTCTGAGAACAAATTATCTTTGATTAGGAAAAAGTCAGCAACACGGGGCAATACGGGTAACGCAAGGCAATGATGGCAACACAGGTCAATGACGGCAATGGGGCATTGACGAAAACACAGGGCAATAATGGCAACACAGGGCAATGTCGCAATGACAGCAACGGGGCAATGATAGCAACACAGGGCATTGACAGCAACACAGGGCATTTCTCTGGGAGGTTTCTACACACCTGTGACTTGGTATCGACAGCATTCAGGCAGGTCCCCGTGTTGCAGTTCCAGAAGCGAATGTGTCGGTCAGCCGTCCCCCCACCACTGGCCAGCAGGCTGGACTGCCACGGACACCAGGCCACGGCCTACAACAACACAGTTAGTCTTACAGATAAACAAAACAACACTCACACCAGGCCACAGCCTGCAACAACACAGTTATTCTTACAAACAGAACGACACTCACACAGGGCATAGCCTGCAAGAACTGTCAATCTCATAGGTAAACAATGTCCACACCTGGTCAGGTCCTGCAGTCTTACAGACAGACATCAATGAGAGCTTTTCCTTGAACATGACATGACAACTACTACAATTACCATGATCATGATGATGACATGGCTTACTTCACACGTCAGTGAAGTCTGTCTGTTGGGTTGACATTTCACATGCTTCTTCATTGTCTTTCTCAAAATGACCTAGTAATACATGGTGGGGTATTCATTGACCTGGTGAATTGATATTTCCTTGATCCTTTACCAACCCACATGTTAGGATGATCTCACTTGTATTTGTGATACTTCCATTGCTTCAAAGCCAGCGGAAATGCTGGGAGCCCAGACTACTTTTCTACAAATAATCCATAATGTTCATAGCTCGTTGGATATTGTCAAATAATGTGTTCCATGACAGCAACAGAAAGCTATTTCGTAGGAGGTGGATTGTTACAATCTACATGCCTCAGACTTAGCCTTTCAAATCCAAGAAGTTTGGTGCACGATTGTCTGGTGAATGTGGGTAACAGTTGTGGATCTACCTTAACTGCTGCTTGGTGCTAGATTGTCCTGTGAATGTGGACCTACATGGACTGCTGCTCGGTGCTAGATTGTCCTGTGAAAGTGGACCTACATGGACTGCTGCTCGGTGCTAGATTGTCCTGTGAATGTGGACCTACCTTGACTGCTGCTCGGTGCTAGATTGTCCTGTGAAAGTGGACCTACATGGACTGCTGCTCGGTGCTAGATTGTCCTGTGAATGTGGACCTACCTTGACTGCTGCTCGGTGCTAGATTGTCCTGTGAAAGTGGACCTACATGGACTGCTGCTCGGTGCTAGATTGTCCTGTGAAAGTGGACCTACATGGACTGCTGCTCGGTGCTAGATTGTCCTGTGAAAGTGGACCTACATGGACTGCTGCTCGGTGCTAGATTGCCTGGTGAATGTGGGCAACAGTTGTGGACCTACCTTAACTGCTGCTCGGTGCTAGATTGACCTGCGAATGTGGACCTACATGGACTGCTGCTCGGTGCTAGATTGTCCTGTGAATGTGGACCTACATGGACTGCTGCTCGGTGCTAGATTGTCCTGTGAATGTGGACCTACATGGACTGCTGCTCGGTGCTAGATTGTCCTGTGAATGTCGACCTACATGGACTGCTGCTCGGTACTAGATTGTCCTGCGAATGTGGACCTACATGGACTTCTGCTCGGTGCTAGATTGTCCTGTGAATGTGGACCTACACTAACTGCTGCTCGGTGCTAGATTGTCCTGCGAATGTGGACCTACCTTGACTGCTGCTCGGTGCTAGATTGTCCTGTGAATGTGGACCTACATGGACTGCTGCTCGGTGCTAGATTGTCCTGCGAATGTGGACCTACCTTGACTGCTGCTCGGTGCTAGATTGTCCTGTGAATGTGGACCTACATGGACTGCTGCTCGGTGCTAGATTGTCCTGCGAATGTGGACCTACATGGACTGCTGCTCGGTGCTAGATTGTCAAGTGAATGTGGACCTACATGGACTGCTGCTCGGTGCTAGATTGTCCTGTGAATGTGGACCTACATGGACTGCTGCTCGGTGCTAGATTGTCCTGCAAATGTGGACCTACATGGACTGCTGCTCGGTGCTAGATTGTCAAGTGAATGTGGACCTACATGGACTGCTGCTCGGTGCTAGATTGTCAAGTGAATGTGGACCTACATGGACTGCTGCTCGGTGCTAGATTGTCCTGTGAATGTGGACCTATATTAAACTGCTGCTCGGTGCTAAATTGACCTACAAATGTGGACCTACATGGACTGCTGCTCAGTGCTAGATTGTCCTGTGAATGTGGACCTACATTTACTGCTGCTCGGTGCTAGATTGCCTGGTGAATGTGGGCAACAGTTGTGGACCTACCTTAACTGCTGCTCGGTGCTAGATTGACCTGCGAATGTGGACCTACATGGACTGCTGCTCGGTGCTAGATTGTCCTGCGAATGTGGACCTACATGGACTGCTGCTCGGTGCTAGATTGTCCTGCGAATGTGGACCTACATGGACTGCTGCTCGGTGCTAGATTGTCCTGTGAATGTGGACCTACATGGACTGCTGCTCGATGCTAGATTGTCCTGTGAATGTGGACCTACACTAACTGCTGCTCGGTGCTAGATTGTCCTGCGAATGTGGACCTACACTAACTGCTGCTCGGTGCTAGATTGTCCTGCGAATGTGGACCTACATGGACTGCTGCTCGGTGCTAGATTGTCCTGCGAATGTGGACCTACATGGACTGCTGCTCGGTGCTAGATTGTCCTGTGAATGTGGACCTACATGGACTGCTGCTCGATGCTAGATTGTCCTGCGAATGTGGACCTATATTAACTGCTGCTCGGTGCTAAATTGACCTGCGAATGTGGACCTACATGGACTGCTGCTCGGTGCTAAATTGACCTGCGAATGTGGACCTACATGGACTGCTGCTCGGTGCTAGATTGTCCTGCGAATGTGGACCTACATGGACTGCTGCTCGGTGCTAGATTGTCCTGTGAATGTGGACCTATATTAACTGCTGCTCGGTGCTAGATTGACCTGCGAATGTGGACCTACCTTAACTGCTGCTCGGTGCTAGATTGTCCTGCAAATGTGGACCTACATGGACTGCTGCTCGGTGCTAGATTGTCCTGTGAATGTGGACCTACATGGACTGCTGCTCGGTGCTAGATTGTCCTGTGAATGTGGACCTATATTAACTGCTGCTCGGTGCTAAATTGACCTGCGAATGTGGACCTACATGGACTGCTGCTCAGTGCTAGATTGTCCTGTGAATGTGGACCTACATGAACTGCTGCTCAGTGCCAGATTGTCCTGTGAATGTGGGCAACGGTTGTGGACTTACCTTGACTGCTGCTTGGTGCTGGGAGAAGGAGTACAAGGGCTGTGTGTTGTCTGCGGACTGGCTACCCATAGCTGCTGACCAAATGTTGAGGATGTTGTCATTGCCGCCACTGGCGAGGTATTTGCCGTCCGGAGACCACTTGAGACCACACACTTCCTGTGCATGCCCAGTGAGGGAGCCCGCATGATGCTGGGCCACTCGCACATCATGGTGATGGATGCTGCCACTTCGGGACCCGCTGAAAGAGGAGATATTCCTGTGCATGACGATGTGTGTAGAAACAACTGCACTAGCATGCAGGAGTTCCGGGAGGGAACAGAGAGCTGCTGAAGATGAGGTCCATGATGATGTTTGTTTATTTGTTGTTTAATGCCACACTCGGTAATATTCCAGCAATATGGCAGCAGTCTGTAAATAATCGTGCCTGGACCAGACAATCCAGTGATTAATATCATGAGCATCGATCCAGGCAATTTGGACACGATGACATGCATCAACCAAGTCAGCCAGTCTGACCACCCGATACCGTTAGTCGCCTTTTATGACAAGCGTAGTCACCTTCTGGGTTGCTAATAAACTATTCTGACCGGGATCATCACAGGTGTAAAATTCTTTGAGCATACTTCAGTGATGCCATTGTTTGGATCTGTCGAGTACAGTTTCAGCGACAGTCATGGCGTGTGTATGTAGATACTTTGGTCGGTAGTTCATCATGAACATGAGATGTCATTTATGCATCCTACAAATATCTTGGTACTGAAGCCACCTGGAGGGTGGTCCTCCACTGCGATGAAACTCTAATACCATGCAGTAAATTCAGCATAAGTGAGTGAGTGAGAGATTGACAGAGTGAGCACCTGCTGAGGATGTAGGAGTTCCAGGAGAGACTACCAACACGTGCAGCATGGCTCCGCATGCTCCGTAGCTTCTTCTGCTGTGTCACATCCCACAACTGAAACATAAAACACATTACAAATTGAATACCTCATTGAGTAAAAGTCAAATTGGTGTCAAGAAACCTCTTGTCCAAAGCGATAGTGGTGATTGTGTTTGTTCTGGTGCGTCCCATGAAGTGAGGGCCTCACAGGGTGATACAGAGGCAGTTCAAGTATTCCACTATTCCTGCATACTGATGTGTCTAATTGGGGTGAAACGATAGTGAGTTTTCATGTGATGTTACGATACATGATACGTTTTTTTCTACATCGATACAGGACGGTACACTTTCTGAAATAAATTACTTACTCGTTTAATGATCCCTGATGTTTTTGTCAGTCAAATATTGCAAGATGTGTTGTAATTAGCCTTTCAAGTTCACTACTAAAAATAGCCGCTACGAACATGTGTCTACAGCTAGGTTTTCCTTTTGAACTTGCTCTGAAATATTTATTGTCAAGAAGTTTCCATGCGATTTTACATAAATATGCCTATTGCGATACATATCGTATTGCCATCCATATCGTATCGTGACCTTGTATCGTTTCACCTCTAGTGTCTGATGTGTGTTGATACAAGAGGCACTCTTCTTTGAGACTACTTGCCCTAACATGACTCAGTAAAATTTACTGTTATTATGTGGACTATTCTATGAGCTTGCTAGCAGGCCACAAAGTTAAAAAAAATTCAAAGGAGCCACTTGGCTCCTAAATTATTTTTTCAAGGAGCCAAATAGAATTTCAAGGAGCCAAGACAAAATGTAAGGAGCCAAAAGTAATGACTTGTAATTTAACTGCATAACAAAACAAAAAAATCCATTAGTTTGAATAATCAGTTTTAAATCATGAACAACAACTGTTGACGTGTTGTTGAAGCTTTTGAGTTTTTCAGACAAACAAGCTTTAGAACATTGTGTCAGTAACATCATCTGACAGTTTACCGGTGCCAGTTGCAGGTTTGGGTTCATCGAACGTGTCGATAGACGACGAAACTTCCGTGTCAGCTTCGCCATTCAAAGCATTCCGTATTATCTTGAGTATACTGCGCATTTATTTCCAAAAAAACACAGCTGTGTAGAAGGGGGTGCGCATTATACACGAAATAATGAGTTTTGATGTTTTTCCCCCATGGAAAGACATTACCGTGAGAACGTAACACCGGAAATACCATGTCAACAAATCCATACTGAAGTACGCAAACAAATCATGTAATTACACTGTCTGACTATAAAAAGTGTTCTTTGTATATCTGGACTTATGTTAGTAACTTATTTCATTAATTTTATTCAAAATTACTTTTAATATTGTTTTAATTTATTTCGGCGAAATCGTGTGTGAAGCGATCGGAAGATCTAACAAACGGTTATTAAGAGAAACCACGGTCAGATTACCGCTATTGATGCCTTGAAACGAACTTTCGTTGACAGAGAATGGATACATTTGTCATAAATGCCATACTTTGACTCGTTAAAGGTCATATTTGTTTTTGTTGGACGATTCTATGTCAACACGTAATTCACGCGATCACGTGCACGGGAGCCTTGACGGTGACTGGTCAGACTGTGTGTTCCATGTAAAACCATGTAATACCCGGTAATATATAGCAATCAGCTGCTTCGCTTACGCTTAGGGTTATTATTATTTCAAATATGTTTGGTAAAAGCTGCATCTAAATTAACAAGATATTGGAATATATTATTCCTGATAAAAAGAAGAAGTTTCAGATACATTTTTTGCCGATCCTTGCATTAAAACCCTGTAAAGTTATATCATTGGGTGTGACTTGACTGAATCACCGGTAAATTCCAAGAAATTGTGTGTACAGCTGATTGCTGTGTCCGGCTTAGTTTACGAGAAGATACACATGGTAATCTTAATCCCTGGATATAAAACAATGCCTAGCAGAACAAAAAAATACAATTTAAACGGTAAATCAACATGTCTGGTGATTTTTTATCTATGTGTTTATCCCTTTCAACACCGTAGGCCGGTTTTCCGGCCAAGCCGTAGTCACGTCAAAATAGTATATATTTGTATGGACCTACCTATAATATCATTCATTTATTAAATCTATCACATTTCACAATGTCTGAAATACGTATTCCATATCAATTTATCATTTTTTTATCAATAAATAAAAAAATTATTCACTATTTCCCGCGATGTTATTGAAAATATAATTCTCGGACACACATTTCAACAACGGGTCCACATCGAACATGTCAAAGAGCAAAATAAAGACGTTTTAAGCAAATCTTTGATATATTATACAAAGTAATAAATAAATTCAACAAAAATATATCTAAAAGTAATCAAACTTACATCTAAGTTATTATTTCCATCTTTTCGTGCAATCGCATGTAATGTAAGTCAAATGACATCTCAGCTTTCGTCGCCTTAAATTCTCGGCTCGGACACGATGTTTAATGCAAAAATATATGCATGAAAAATCTGTCACAGCTCGTAACCTAGCACGATAGATTCAAGAAGTTCCATATTTTTAATATATATATATCGTGATTTCCTGCCTTTTAGTTCAGAATAACATGATTTAACAAAAATCTTTCGCCAACTTCTGAAATTTATCAAACACGAGCTTGGTATCACCGCTGAAATTTGATTGGCTGCCTGCCTTACAAGTAGTTAGAAATGTAGACAGTGATAGTAATTTCCAATATTACTTGCCTCCGGACAAGTTAAAGTAAGTGATTTTGTTGCCCAACCTCGTATTTCTACTTTCCCCGAGAGTCGGGAAATGGCAAATTTCCACCCCTGTTCCCCCCCCCCCCCCCCCCCAAAAAAAATAAATAAATACTGAATCTGCTAGAGAGGGGTGCGCACTATACTAAAGAAAATACGGTATTCATCATTTGCCGATTGACAACGATTTGTTGTTGTTTTGACTTGCGCAAATATAGAAAAATACTTCGTGTTTTTGAACGGCGAAACGACCGCCTTAGCTGTCACCTGGGCGGATGTCGTACAGCGCATGCGTGGGTACTAAACTCTTAACATCGTTAGTGCATTACTTAATAACGGAAAGTGCTTCCTTCATTCCAGGTATGGAGCTTCATATCGAAAGCGAAAACAGAACACATGGCCAACAGTGATCTTGTCGATGTTATTATGTTCTGATATCGAATTTTTTCACCGAAGTTACGCACTTATATTAAAAACGATCTTTTTTAATATCTTATGACAAGAGATATTTAGTCGCCAAACTTAATTAAAGACAAGGAGCCAGTTGGCGACTGACATGAAAATACCAGTCGCAAAATACAAAACTAGATCGCCATGGCGACCAATTTAGTCGCAACTTTGTGGCCTGGCTACTCTGGCTTCGGAATAGTGACACAGATGGATGATATGACAAAGCTCCAGGGGCACCTGTTCCACAAAGTGATGTTACTATTCATTGTTATACAACTATGCTAGGTCTATCAGATTCATGTAAGCGGAACAGGTCTGCACTACAGACATACTTGATATGTTGTCTACAACGAGTTCTACTCCACTCTAGGAGTAACAGCGACACTGTAGACAGACCCACCTGAACCTCGCCGCTACTGGTCCCGACCGCGAGGTAGTTGCCCTCCTTGATCCACGACACCGCACCAACGTACTCGTCCTGCCCGTCCATCTGACACAGCTGGCTGATGTCACCACTACTGGCATTCCACAGGTAGACGGAGCTGCCCAGACACACCGCCAGGTAATTGTTCACTGACCAGTCCAGCAGGTTCAGGTCTGACAACATTACACAAGTCAGTCAGGGAGGGAATAGGGTTTCAATTTCAAATGAAAGTGTGAGTGAGTATGGTTTTTCGCTGCTTTTAGCAATAATTCAGCAATATCACGGCGGGGGACACCAGAAATGGGCTTCACACATTGTACCCATGACAGGAATTCAACCTGGGTCTTTGGCATGACGAGCAAGCGCTTTAACCACTAGGCCACCTGACCACCCTCAAATGAAAGTTGTAATGACAGATCAAATGTGAAAGGTATTCTGGCATTAGGAACAAGATCCTGAGACACTTTGCACCATATTCAGATATTAACACACGCTGTAGACATGACAGACAGGAACATCCTCGTTCAAGAGTCGGGTACATTTCTTCATTAGTGTCAGGCTAAACTGGTCAAATGTTGGAAAGACCCCAATATTAACAACTTCATAAAGCGGTTATGGTAAACATTTGATCGTTTCCATTCTACATGTTCTAGGCTACAAAAAACAAACAGAAATTTTCAGGTATTATGTGGTGTCATAACTGTTTGATTGGCATTTGGTGTCATGTCTTCTAGTACTTGAGAATTTTCAAAATATACTAAACAGGGCTGTCAGGCTTCTCTCTGTTTTGGGATAACTGGCTGAACACTGTCAAAAGTCAGCCCAGTGTAACATATTTACCACCGTACTCAAACCAACAAGGACAGAAATGACGCTTAGGAATTAACTGCCAACACCCAATAGGACCGCTAGGCCACCCGTGCCCACAGTCTGTGTAGTACTCACAATAATCATCTAGGATGTCCGGGGCATCGAGTATTCTCTCGGGTACTTGTGGAATGTGTCGTATTGTCTTCTTGGCACTGGCGGCTGTCTTGGTTGTACTGTACAACACCCTGAGGTTGTTGTTGTAGCCTGGGAACAATCACACATCACTCAATCCTTTCCCTTCTCTTTCATGCAGACGTAAAACAATTATTATACATTCTACCAACTTTCTACCTGGTTAGCCAGTGTTCGTGACATGTAAATGTTGTGATGGTAGCATCAATGAAGACAGGTCGAGCTATGGATTTGCACGTCTATTCTTTCAATGAGATGCTTTCGTACATATACCAGCTGTACTGAAACTTCACATTGACAGAATGAAGTGGTCAGACACTAGAAAAACAAAAGTAATAATTTCTATTGTGCAAGGTTTTTGTTTAATGCCTCTATGAGCAATATCCCAGCGGTCTGTATAATGAAGTCTGGGCCAGACAATCCAGTGATTGACATCATGAGCATCGATCTGTGCAATTTGAGTAGATGACACGTAGTCAACCAAGTCACTAAGCCTGACCACCTAATCCATTTAGTTGCCTCATATGACAAGCTTAGGTTGCTGTGGACCTATATGCCCACTGGGAATCCCCACGTGTAAAGATATTTTGTAATCTTATGCCCGATATATTGATTGATGAGAAAAGAGATACATGTCAAGGGTATAGTGAATTGGGGTTGACGCAGCTTTGGAACCCGAGTATGGTGCTCACAAAATAAGGGTGTCTCTGGGATTTGAATCAACGATGGTAGGATCCAACCCTGCCCAACATTGCTACATCCATCATGACTGACATTCAACAAGATTGTTGACAGCCTTACATCATGTTCAGTGACAACCAAAGACAGTATACCTTCAGGTGCTTGAGGAGCTTTGCTCTTGTAGGCGATGATCTTGCTGTTGAGGAGCTCGCCGTTCAGGTTGTCACTCATCACACGCTGGTACTCCTGCTGAGTCGGACTCAGAAGCTCATTGTCCTCGGGTTTCTCCCCCTCGCTGACAATCTTGTAGTGGCCCAACTCAAACTGGGTGGTGGCACGGTTAGGGATGAACCTGTCGCCTCCTGTAGGGGTCTTGGGAGCTTTACCGCCAGGAGTCCGATGTTTGCCTGTCACAAGTAATACATACATTATTCTCAAACCACAGCTAGAACTGTAATCATAGGCATGATCAGTGTTCAAAGCGAAGGTAGGGTACTGGGCTTTGTTTTTCTTTTAACACCACACTCAGCAATATTCCAACTTATTAATGATGGCACCCAATATATTTAAGAAATAAACAACGAGTGGGAGTTGTTTATCGTACAATAAAACACTGCAAGGGGAATAAACCATGAGGGGTGCAGCCCATGTTGTTTTGTACTTTTCTACACAATACGATGAATAATCTGCATCATATCTTCCCGTGGCAAGGGAGTTAACCGACTATGAAGGTCCAGTTTCCACCCTTGCCGAACTAGGCTGGCATTATGGGGTTATATTTTGGCTGGACTAATGAGCCTATGCATAGTCCAATCAAATTTCAAAATAAAAATAAAAATAATCTGCCGTACAGAATTCAGTTGCTTGCAGGATTTGCAAAAGATGTGTACAGCGTCAACAGATATTTTACACATCATTTCATGTTTTTAATCAAGGTGTTCATGTGGTTTGATGCACTTCACGAAGTAAGACACATTTTCTTAAAACATACATTTCGATTATCGATCAAAACATCTTGACTGGCCACCACCATTTTGTTTGAACCAAATGTAAGTGATATGAAAGGTGAAAGGTGAAAGGTGAAATCTGATTGGTCAATAGGAGGGACATAGAAGAGACATAACTTGTAATAGCCACTAGCGGCACTACGATCAAGCCCAGGAATTCCAGCCTAGTTTGGCAAGGGTGGAAACTGGACTTTTACTGTCAGTTAACTCCCTACTCGGGAAGATGGCATCATATAAGAAAAGCGACAAAAATCATGTGCCATCTGAATCTAAGTATGCAAGACATTGAACACCGACTGTTAGTGACTGCTGCTTCCTTACCTGATGATTTGGGTGTTTTTTTGGATTCGGTTGAGGGTGTTTTGGCTCCCATAGGTTTGTTGGCAGTCTTCATCGGAGTCTTGGCAGACGTGCTGGCATTGAGCGAGTTGTTGACAGAGGCATTGCAGTCAGCATCCGCCTTCTTGGTCCATCGTGACGTGAGTGGCCCTCTTGTCACACCGGGGACAGGAGCATCCATCCTCAGCACGCTGCTCACCTCATTCTCCAGGTTGAAGTGAGACACTGAATACACAGGAAAACACCAGCCCTTGAAGATTTCATATAACAAATACTGACTTCTTTAGTGACCAGTCCGATGTAGGGTCATGTTTTGACTGTTGGACTCCATCGCGGCTCTTGTCTAAACTAAGCGAAATGTGACCTACTTGGTGTCTACGGGTTGTGGCAATTTGTACCACAAAAAATGTTGTACCCCTAGAAACTTTCAGCGTTAGAAATTGGCACTAGTCCTATAGTCCTTGCCAAACTGCCCAATGGTTAAGGTATCATAAGGACTAGTAAAAATTTGCCCTTTTTAAGGGTTTTGCTATATGTTATCATTATAAGGACTAGTGGATGAAAACTGTTAGTTTCTACCGCTGACTTTGCAACCCTGAAAATAAGAATCTTCGTAACCCTATTTCGTATTTCTAAATATCTGTCTATAAGACAATTGTTATAGTTGGATTATAGGTTTCCAAACATCTTAACTTTGTTTATAAGACAATAATATCGTTCATCATGTTTATCGTGCTTTCTCTCGCTATAACAAGTTGTGTGATGTCACAGTGGAGCAGTCCATTCATATCATAGGGACAGAGGATGCTGTTGAGATTTCATAAAACAAATTTGTTATCACAATGCAAACATTGCATTCACATTTATAAAGAAAACCAATCATTCTCTATAATCATTCACGATGTCCAACATACACATACACAAAGCTATCACCAACACACAATAAAACACATCACAGTAAAACAACAACCATCCAGTATCCGTCGATCAATCCTCAGTCATTGCATAGTGTGGTCCAGCCAGCATATATACTACTCAAAAGAAGTTAAGGATCACCTGATTCTTTCATATTACAATAGTTAATCTCTCATGCCATGACAGCTTAACATTACCAATATGAAAGAATCGGGTGATCCTTAACTTCTTTTGAGTAGTATATATAACTGGAATATACTGTATATCACATAAATGGTGTTACATACAAAAAGCCATCGTTAAAGTTAATTGAATGAGATCTTCATTAATCATGATCACTTTACATACCTTCACCTGGTATTTTAATCTATTGTTAAATATACATCTCCCATCTCCATCTCATCTGCTACTGGGATCAAGAAGCCCATTGTAATTTTCAGTTGAAACAAAGTTTTCTTCAAGATAAGCTTCTGTCAACAGATAAACCCCATATGTTGTTATTCTTGTAAATAATAATATTGGCCCTTTACATTTACATTAAATGTTTTCAGATCTAAATCTCAATTAATATTTTGTATAATGTAATTCATTGCTTATTTAATAAGTTTACGAAATTACTTTCCATTTGGGGTGCACAATTTCTCATTTCTACGGGTAGAAATTTACATAGACCCATGTCTACAGCCTATAAACCGGTTGTTCACTACACTTCATTTCCAAACATTTTAAGGAATTTTAATAAGCAATGTTCATGATCTCAAGTCTTATGCTTATTATTAACTTGGATTTTGTTGTTTGAAACGAAACATTGATTGAGTAAAGAAAATCGAACAAGGAGAGTCAACATGGTCAAAGTTTACATGCTTTGAGTTAGTTTTATTATTTCACTGCCATGCTATTGCATCCATGACATTTAATAATTATGTCCTTAGGGACAATAAAATGAGTCAGGTAAAAGTCTGTCTTCCTTTTCCATATTTTTTATGATGCAAACACTTTAAAACACACGCCTTTACGTGTTATTAATGTTAAAGGTAGGGGGGTACACAACAGTGATCTTCCATGATTACAAGTTACATAGGGAAACATATAGGATTTACTCAAACTTTCCAACAATATTGGTAGCCTAGTACAAATCACAGAATTTCATTGTATATATAAAGCCTATTTTATTATCAACATGATCAACCCTAAGTCTAGATTCTACATTCTCGAGTCTTCTGGTCATTTTTGTCCGTCACACAGAACTATTTCTCTGGAGGCTTTGTTTACTGTGTATCACTTTACGCTTGTATTTGGTCTTTTTAGGTGTATTTCAGTTTCTATCATAGGTAAAGTTTGGTATCCACGGCTTGACAACCAAAGTTTTCATTGAACCAACACTCACATCGAGACATTAGGCCTAAGTCAATACACAATGTGACATTAATCAAAATATCACAGCTGGTTTACAATAATTCACAAAATATGCGCGGTCATAGATTAAAAACTCATATTGTATCCCTGACTGACAAATACTCACTTCTTTAACTGCTGATCACTCAAATAAATATATTTTCTTTCATTCGTTCTCTCGTGTTTCACTCTTCTCTCGGCGTGTCTAAACACGAACTTAGCTTCGTTCTATGTTTAAGTTTACCGCTTTGTTATTGGCCAATCATTCGACTGGACGAATGTTGATTGGTTGCTGAACAAGCGAGCTCAAAACAATCTGTGTGAGATCTCAACGGTACTTTCCGAGACTTCCGGTTCCACGTTGTTGATGTTTTGTGGGTTACACGTGTGCTATTCAAGAGAAGAACCCTCTTGTCTCCAGGGCTGTCTTGACAATGAAAGTGTTAAAATCAAATCCATTCCAGTGCGATATGACACTTATACAATCGTTGGCGATCATTTTCATAGCCATTTTTCCCGTTGCAACTTTATGCTTCGAAAATGACCAGGGCAGTGTTGCAGACGACAAGAAATTTGATCCGGCGAAAGATTTCTACATGTATGACGTGTATGATCTGAGAGGAAATCTGGTTCCATTGAAAAGATATAAGGGAAAGGTGGGTTAAATTCACGGTGTAAGCATGCTATATGGTTGGCTGTGCAATAAAATTTCTACAGTGAGCTTAGATCTTACTTCATGTCATAGGGTTGTGTCATAAGTTGAAAAATAATGTACGTGTATATCTAGTTGTTTAGTAATAAGACGACGCCATCAGTGGAAAGCTTGTTTAGAAATTGGGACTTGTATTCCTGAATGCTTTGAAAAGCATCACAACCACTGAAAACTAAATGATTCGTGTACCAAGATGCAATGTGTCAGTATATTATTGTCTCCCAAATGATAGCCAAGGGCCCGGATACGCCCCTCAGGATAAAAAATGAATCATTCGGACTCTAAATTAAAGGGCATTTATCAAATGATTTATTACCTGATTAGGCATCAGTTTGCCTTGAGGCTGTTCTATTTACCTCATGTTTATTCTCATTTATTACCACTGACGTTTCTTTGATCAATAGTCTCATTATCAGAAAATATAAATTAAATAAAGGCATGTAAAAAATTAGCCTCTCTGTATCTGGTCCAAGAGATGATCAGGTGTCTCCACTTAAGGCGCATGCAAGAGTTATAACTAAACTTGTGAACATTGTTTATAAATGCCGTTTGAAAACATATTGTGCATGTTACTTGTATATTGGCAGGTATCCCTGGTGGTGAATGTGGCCAGTGAGTGTGGCTACACAGACCAGCACTACAAAGGCCTAGTTAGACTGTATAATGAGCTGGTTCATACTGACCGGTTCACAGTACTTGCCTTTCCCTGTAACCAGTTTGGTTCTCAAGAGCCTGGGGTTAGTATTTTCATTGGCTTCTGATTATGAGTTGACAATAACATGAAGCACTGATGCAGGCTCTGAGGCATTATAGGTATCCTGACTGAAATATTGTAATAAGTTCTGAGCTAGGAAGGGATTATTTGGAGTTCTGAACGTCAACCATGATCAAATGATGTCTTTATAACAAAAAATAAAATTAATTGAGATATGCCAATGCAGCCACTATCTCATTGAGATTTGATGAAGGTAAAATAGTTGAAACAAGTTTCTTTCCTTAAATAGTCATTGTCAGGGCATCACAATTGTGGCCTGTTAGCATTCGTTAGATATCACAATCACAACGTTGCATTGCATGTAGCTCTTTGGTTCAAAATGTCAAGTAAAAAAATCGATCTATAGGTTTGCACAGGGTGACAGGAAGAAAGAAAACATTGCATCGAAAGGGAGGTTTTTCCATGTCATGAGATACATGTTTCAGGTGGTGAAAAGTGTGGGGATTTTCAGTTATAAGTCCAAACACATGTGGAACATGAACAAAAAATAGAAACTATTAAAGCCATAATCATGTTTAGGTGAAAATTGGTAATACTGTATGTCAGCTGACATCATATCCAGGACAAATTAAGTGTGAACAAGTGTTGTTTAGTGAAATAATATACTCAGTTTTCGTCAATGTGTGTTCTTGGTCTTCCAGAGCAGCACTGACATCGACCAGTTTGTGAAGCGGAAGTACAAGGTGAACTTCCCCATGTTTGCCAAGATTGATGTCACCGGCGATAGTGTACCAGAGGCATGGAAACTGCTCATTGGTAAAATAAGTGTTACCTGTTGCTTGATATTCTTTTGAAATATATATTGACCCGTGAAGATTCCGGGGTAGAATAGGTCTTCAGCAACCCATGCTTGCTGTAAAAGATGACTATGCTTGTCGTAAAAGGCGACTAACGGGATCGGGTGGTCAGGCTCGCTGACTTGGTTGATGCATGTCATCAATCCCAATTGCGTGGATTGATGCTCATGATATCAATCACTGGGTTGTCCTGTCCAGACTTGATTATTTACAGATCACTGTCATATAGCTGGAATATTGCTGAGTGTGGCATTAAACAACAAACCAACTTTTGAAATAATACATCTCTCAATATCCTGCCCACACAGCCTCATCTATTGTTAATGAGTACAGAAATCTTTCCTGACAACATTGATTAAGTTAGTGTTGCAGTATTTACACAATCTTTTCTAGGATTTGTCAACAGAACAGTTTGTTTTGCAGATGTTTTCAGTGCTTCTTTTTGTAATCCATGATGATTAGAGTGGTACTCACTGATTGTGTCAGTCAGCTTCAATATGATCTGCCACAATCAGTGTTTAATGTAGGGCTGGGACGATACACCAACTGTGAGATCCGATACGTATCACGATACCCTACTTATGAGCTGATACTTGCATGTGCACTTATCTGTGGTGCGTAAGCCATCTTTTTCATAGAGAGGATGGCCAAATACCTGGTACACTGATGATTTACAGTTGGCAGTGTCAAGTATGGCACAACAAATGAAAATATTTATGTTTTCACTATTAACTTGCACTACTGATTAGTATTAAGTGGAACAGTTATTAAAGCAAACATTTAAGGTCAGAATCGATACTTTTTACCTAGTGTGCGACTGTGATCGATACTTGTATAGAGAAGTAAAACATCGTGATCCACCAAGGCATCAGTGTATCGTCCCACCACTAGTTTAATGGGGGTGTTTTTGGTTTTCTATTGCACAATGCAAGTTTAGAGAGCTCCTAAATCTCTTATTTTTATAGTATTGGACTTATGACAAGAAACATGGACCAACATCCTTTATTCTGAACACTGACAGTGTTATGTGATGTATTACTTTTGATATTTCAGCCGAGGCTGGCAAATCTCCCACATGGAACTTCTGGAAATACTTGGTTGATGGCAAGGGACATGTGGTTAATGCCTGGGGGCCCTGGGTGGATGTAGACGACATCAAAGAAGCTATACTTGATGCAGTGGAAGAGGTAACTCCATTGGATCTGCCCTACCAAGCACACCACGATGACCAGGAACATGAACATGAAGAGTTGTGAGAAGATCGAGAGATCAATGTGTAAAATCAGGGCCACAAGACAATTTCAGAGTACTATTGTCTTGATGACTCAGCTCATTCCACTGCAATGTACGTCATATGCAATATGTCAAAACTAGCAAAGTTCTTGGCCATGCTAATCAGGTGCAGGACATAATGATGTCATATACATGTCAGATCAGTTTATTTTAAATGATTTAATAGATAATGAAATAACTACTGATTGGCCTTTAGCTTGTAATTGTTCCATAATTGCCTGGACACATGCGTTAAAATTCAACATTTAGTATGTTTTTCTGTCGGTGACAATCTCAAATTCCAAATGGTATTTTTCTGGGAAACATTTAACTTCAACATATGACTCATACATAGCATGAAGAAAAAGTTACAGTGTAGATCGTTTAACCAAGAAATGATCAATACAGATGAATTTGGAAATTAGGAACATATTATTGCATGAGCTGATATTTCAGTATACAATGATGTACTGTTTCTTTGGGCGCCATGTTGTTTCAAATGTGACATGGATCTTGTTCTTAAGTATGTATTATCAATAGTCTTCTCTACAGTGGAGGGACTCATTGAGTTTTATGTTTTGTGCTTGCAGTCAATCAAACGATGATCACGACGTAGTTTATATGACCATATTCTGTTGTTACCATGGTTACATGTTATAAATATTTCTGCTGAAGCCTCACCGCATGTTTGTGCAAACAATATTAGATAAAAGACTAAGTCTTCTACTAAAAAGCCCATTGTTCACAACAGTTGCTGTTCTCATGAAGAGATACCAATCTCAAATACTTGCTCCGTATTATCTCTTAGGTTCGTATATTCTGTCCAGTTGATAGTAGCAGCAGTGTTACTCTGGTCACAATCGATGCTTGGTGCTATGTCCATGTTTGCTTTTTCCGTCCATTCACTGCCCAGTATCATAACTCTATGTGCCAATTTTGGTCTTTTTGATGATTTTGACCTTGTTGTCTGTTATTTGTCTGATTGTGAACTGTATTGGTAGAACTGGAGCACATCGAACCTTACTCAGTTCCATTTGAAGTTTATTCAAAATATTTAGAAAAGTTTGTGTAGTTTGTAAGTCTTGTGCATAACTTTTGTTATAATACATATTCTTCTCAAGATGGTGCTATTTACTACTGCATATTATTTGGTCAGCTGTAATGATGATTGCATGAAGTTCAGCATGTTTCTGATGAATCTGCCAGTATATGGTATATTAATAATTTTGTTATCCTATTGGAAGCGTTTAAAGGTACCACATGCAAAATGTTCACTAATTTGAAGTGCTTAAACAGCACACAACATTGTAATATTATTATGTGCCAAATAATATCCTGACATTTTAAAGGCATATCAACAGTCTATTTGCCTAATGTTGACCAAAGAATAAAGTTTTTTACCTTCACGAGTACAACATTTTTGTAATGCTTGTCTCCCTGTGTGGATTCTTGGGAAGAAGAGGGAAACAAATTCCCATGCTTGTGTCAACGGTGATCAGTTCCACATGGAATAAGCTCCATCCATAACAAATATTGCCAGTGTAAATGTCTCATGAAAATATTCCTTGTAAAATCTGTTCCATGGAAATAATTCTCCTAGAAACAATAAGTACAAAAGATCAGTTTCACACAAGAACAGATACTCTTTGACACTTGTCTTCCTTCAACTTCTGCAAGGTGGCTAAGCCCATGTTCGACCCGTTAAGATCCGGGGTAGAATAGGTCTTCAGCAACCCATGCTTGCCATAAAAGGTGACAATGCTTGTCGTAAGAGGCAACTAACGGGATCGAGTGGTCAGACTCACTGACTTGGTATGTAATCATATCCCAATTCCGTGGTATATTGCTGAGTGCGGTGTTAAACAACAAACAAACAACAACAATCATGTTTGCCTGAGGCAGAATATGTTAGAGTTATTGAGTGAGTTGGGTTTAATGTCGCTTTTAACAGTATTCGGGGGGGCACGGGTGGCCAAGTCGTCTAAGGCGCCGCGATTCGCTGTGCAGAGTCACGTCCCTTGGGCACGCCAGAAACCTATGATTGTGGGTTCGAACCCCGGTTCGCCCCGATTATGTTTCTAGGTTTGTCAGCACCATACCCGTGCTCGTGGGTTTCACCGAAGTGGTAAACGTCTAAGACCTGCATCACTTCAAGCTTTCCTCCCACATTAAGCTGACACGCCGCGATATAACTGGAATACTGTTAAAAGCGGCGTTAAACCCAACTCACTCACTCACTAACAGTATTCGAGTTATATCACAGCGTGTCAGCTGAATGTGGGAGGAAAGTGCAGAGTGATGCTGGTCTCAGACGTTTACCACTTCGGTGAAACCAACGAGCAAAGGTATGGTGCTGACAGACCTAGAAACCTCATCGGGGCGAACTAGGATTCAAACCCACAATCATAGGTTTCTGGCGAGTCCAAGGGACAGCGAATCACAGCGCCTTGGACGTCTGGGTCACCAGTGCCCCCGAATACGTTAGAAGGAAACCCAGAAGACATCTTACAGCCATAGACTTGGAACATTCATGACCAACTCGTGCCATTCCTGGACAAACCAATCTCGTACAAGGTTACCAAAAGATGAGTATGGTGATGAAAGAAACTTGGAAAGAAAGACAATCAGGGGAGACAACCCTCACACCCTTGTTCCACAAAAACAATCATAGCTGCAACTATCAGACTCTGACACAGGCTAACAATAGTTGTAGCTCAAAGATCGCTTTGTGGAATGAGGCTCTTGACCTTTTGACAAGAGGCTACTCACATCTCACTGGCTACTGGTTGTCTTCAGCAACTTGAGGTACATGGATCCTGGAACTATCCAACTCTTCCTAATACCAGAATAGTGAGTGAGTGAGTTTGGTTTTATGCCGCTTTTAGCAATATTCCAGCAATATCACGACAGGGGACGTCAGAAATGGGCTTCACACATTGTACCCATGTCGGGAATCGAACCCGGGTCTTCAGCGTGACGAGCGAACGCTTTAACCACTAGGCTACTTGACCGCCCCTAATACCAGAATAAACAACATCAAAGTAAGGACAAATGGTTTTATTCATAAACTCACACAAAACCTCGAGTCTGTATCTATTGCATTCTCACCAGTTGATCAAAACCACTACGCTTTTCCAAGTTTTGTAATGGCTTCTCATTTTCGGTAGAAGTCAATAGCTACAGTTTCATGAGTTGCCGATACTACAACACAAATGTTGCAACCTGACCCAAATATGTCCCTCACACAAAACATTGAAATGGTCCAGTAGGATTAAGACCAACACTTGATAGTTGGTCATCTTTGGAATTTGGAATTTGGAATGCAATTTTTTGATGACATTGAAGGGTAAGGTTCTACACTTATTTCACATCCTTTGAATAAAACCACCCACAAATACTTAAACACACATTGATAATCAGATCATGTCAAAACAGAGGCACAGGACAAAGCAGAAAAAACACTTTAACAAATATATGTTCACTACCACTCACTCGTCTGATGAAAGTTTTATGTGTTTTGTAATGTGCCCCACCTTGTGATGAAAGATGAATACAAAGATTGATGGTAATGCAACATGGATGATCTCTGCCCTATGTTGTCCCTAGACGTCCAGCGATACCCCAGTTCTCACTTCCTTCATTGGGAGACCGCCAGGTTTTATCCCAAATGCTTTCATTAACACTGGCCTCTTTCTGGACAGCTAAGAAGTTCATAGTGGAAGAGGAGAAAGATACAGGACAACTGTTGATAACAAACTTATATATGTGTGACATTTGCTTTCAATTTCAGGGATAGGATCGTTTGGAATCAACAATTATTTAGAGGAGGAAGTATATGGTTGGCAAGTGGAAGCTAGTGACAGACTACTGTCATTCAGCGCCTCTTCCTATGGGTCACTGTCAAGGAGCACCCAGAGAGGGAAGTCATCGGAGAGGTCATTGTCACGTGACTCGGGAGGTGGACCTGCCGCTCTCCGATCACACTCAGGTGGATGGAGAGGACACACCTGAGTTGTGACCTTGTCACTGTCAGGATTCTAAACCAGACGGTCAGGAACAGGAGATGGAAGAAGAACTGGACTGCCCTTGTCATTGTCAAGAACCTGCCAGTCCAGATGGTCAGTCTCAGGACTGTTGCTGAGTCTGACACTGTCAGGAAACTGAACCTGACTCATGTGCCTGTCACTGGTACAATGAACCTGCACCACTAGCGACCTGCCCTTGTCACTGTCAAGGGGACCCTAGACCTGAAGGTCATTGTCAAGACGATGGATTTTGTCCTGAGCTATGTTGTCATTGTCAGGTACCCCCCAACCCAGTTGGTCACTGTCAGGATGAGGGTGACCTATCAGATGTCTGAAGCTGTCACTGTCAGGAAGACCCAGTACCTGGTCACTGTCAAGCAGATCCGGACCTTGGTCACTGACAGTCCCGACCTCCTTCGAGACACTGTCAGCACTCGGGGCCACTAGGGCAGTTTCAGCGACGGGCAACCGTTGAAGATCATGATCAAGTGTCATGTCTAAAACGGCACTCACAGTCGCCAAAGGATGGTCAGCTGCACCTAGATTCTGTGACTGACGGTCACTGACAACGTTTCAGTGACAGATCACTCTGCTGACGTCACTGTCACCTGTTCTCAAGACGTCAGGGTTTGGATTGGCGTGACTGATGTCTGCAGGACTGACAGAGACATCTGTCCCTCAGAACTGCAGATGGGTGATGTCAGGAACACCTCCAGCCCACAGGACGACTGTCACCGAGGTCAGTCAGCTGCTGGTAACACGATCATCTGCGGCTCGACTCCTGCGAGGAGCACAAACAATCATGGGTGGGTACAAGGGTCGTGGAAGGGGAGTTGGGGCAGGCTCAGTGCTGCCTGTGGCGATGGGAATAGCTATTTCTGTTCAGGTTAAGCCTGTTCTGACGTCTCAGTCTTCTGAGAATCCTACACAAAAGGTCTTGACATCTGGGAGATCTGGAGGGCACACGTTGTACTGTAGGATCATCTCCCTGCATCTGATGATTAGAGTTGGAATGATGACGAGAGGAGGACTGGCCGTGGCCGTGACCTTGTTGACCCCGTTGACCTCGTTGACCTCGTTGACCTTGTTGACCTTGATGGTGCCGGGAGTTGAGCCGACAGTAGCAAGGGCTGTCCCGGTAGGTTGCAATGAGAGCACTCTGGGTGTAGTGGTACTGAAGGTAGGTCATCGGAAACTGGATATGGTAGGTCTCTTGTCCACATCTAGAAGGGGAAAACCGATGCCGAATTAAGTTATTGTCAGTGGGACCAGTTACTACAACAGAAGGGGGCTTCCCCTGGTAATCCTCAAGGTCAGGGGACAGAATTGTCAAACTGTGTAAAAACTGACGTATAGTTGTCTAGCTAGTGAATATTGCACCCATTATCTCCGACAGCGTTTGATATTCTATTTTAGACTCGAGCCCAAATGTGACCCGCTTTCTATAATAAACACTTAATGAATGGCACAACAACCCAAGACGAAGTTACCCGACTTTCGAGTCGATCCAAGGATCCACTCATGGTATGAAGGCTGCCAAGTCTGCAAGAATAAGCGTTCCATGAAGGAACTACTGGTTTTAATTTGTAATGCCAGTTTGCCAAGTTAGTAAGTTCCCGACCTGTCAAATATGAAGAAATCGTCCTTGTGGCCGCCGTAGACCCGTTCCCAGAGTCCAAGCTGTGGGGTGTCCTGGTACACGGGGAAGGTGACCAGACTGGCGAATTCGTTGTACAGGGCGAGGGAGGCGTTGTCGTAGGCGTTGATGATGATCATGTTGATGTCGGGCATGTTGTGATCAGCAAACAAACCCCGGAGAACTTCCAGACTGAAGGGGAATGAGTGAGTGAGTGAATAAGGATATGTCATATTCTTACATTAACTGAGAGGTAATTGTATTTCTATTCATTGCATATATCCTAGGAAGACTTGTAGTTTAACAGTTATAAAAAAAGATTCCACAAACGATCACGATTCAGGCCATTCTATGATGATAAACACCCTGGACCCAACATCAGTTCTAAGACCGATTCTAACAGCACGACGCAAACAAAAGCGTCCAATCAAATTACTCTGAGCAGCGAGAGACATTCTGTGCCATACCCGTGAAGATCCGGGTAACAATAGGATGTCAACAACCCCTAATTTCCGTAAAAAGTGACTATGCTTGTAGTAAGGGGCGAGTAACAGGATCGGGTGGTCAGGATCGCTGACTTGGTTGATGCATGTCATCGTATCCCAGTTGCGTGGATCGATGCTCATGACATCAGTCACAGGATTGTCTGGCTCAGACTCGATTATTTACAGACTGCTGGAATATTGCTGAATGTGGCGTTAAACAACAAACAAACAAACATTCTGTGCCAGGTCAAAAATAGGAGCGATAGGGTTGCGTCACTTCCCAAACAACGCCATGGTGGAGAATGCGTTCAGGGAATTTAATAAAACTGAATGGATACATAATACTCTGGATAATCGAGGATGGCGTCAGGCATCAAGAAATGAAGATACATTTTATCACTGGTAGTGTTGTTACCACTCGAAGTGCTTTTTTAACACTGCAACACTCACCTTGCGGCCTGGGTTCTACAGAAGGATCAGCTAGCCTTTAGCAGCGCCACCAACGTCACATTGCCGCGCAACTGCTCCATCGGGCGCACGCCATCCACCGACCACGACGCGGGTCGGGAGCAGCGGACGCCCAGGACAGAGGGGGCGAGGACGCAGAGGACCGCTAAAGCCAGCAGAGCCCGCGGGCCCCGCATAGTGGCGTGAACAACCTGAGGACAAACAGCAATGTCATTAATATCATAATCCACATTATAATAACTACCCTGAAGATCCGGTTCTTAAGCGACCCATACTTGCCGTAAAAGCGACTATGCATGTCATAGTATCCCACATTGCGTGATATCATGATATCAATCACTGAACTGTCTGGTCCAGACTCGATTATTTACAGACCTCCGCAATAAAGCTGGAAAAATTCTGAGTACGGCCTTAATTAATAAACAAACAAACACTTAAATCCACATAAACGCTGATGTGGTGAATTAAAAAAAAGCAGTGCTACACTTTGGATTATCTACCATGCTGTCAATGGTCTAAACTGTCAAAGGTTCCTGTTGTCATCATTGATAGTATTTTCTGCATAAATATTGAGTACACACATTCAACTCCCAATGATTGCCATATCAGAAGGAGGTCATTTGAAAATTGGATCCGAGACACTTGAGTGGAGTGAGTATGGTTTTACGCCGCTTTTAGCAATATTCCAGCAATATCACGGCGGGGGACACCAGAAATGGGCTTCACACATTGTACCCATGTCGGGAATCGAACCCGGGTCTTCGGCGTGACGAGCGAACGCTTTAACCACTAGGCTACCCGACCGCCCCTCCGAGACACTTGAACAAATTGCGATGAAACTGTTAGTTGGTGGGGACAAACATGTGATGCGTCACTGGTCCAGTTGTTCTGGGGACCTAAGTTTTACAGAGCTCAAAAGTGTTTTTATGATAATTAAAGAGTATGGTTCAAACGCAAAGGTTGAACAAAAATGGCCGAGTAATGACCGAAACTATAGGTTTTCAATTTGGCTGCTGCACATAGCGGCCACGTTGAAAATTGTATTCGACCTCTTGAGTAAGGGGCTTCATCAATGGTGGGACCAGTTTGTGAAGTTTCAACTTCATTGATTTGGTGGTGTCTGACATCTTGTTTACATTGCAGTGCAAAGAATTGCATTTTTAGATAAGTTCAGACTACATTGGTCAAATAAAGGTAAACATTTAAAATATCGCAACAACAACAAAATACAACCGAAACATATGTTGAGCTCCCACTACAAACGACACATATAGCAAACTTAATGACAAAAAACTTCATGAGTAGCGGCCATAAACAGATATTTCAATATGGCTGCCATGAGAGCCATATTGAAAGTCTAGTTCTAACCTCTTGAAAGAATTGGGGTGTCATCATTGGTGGGAAGCATGTGGTGGTTCAGTTCATTGGGTCCGAATGGTTTTAGGGAAGAATATGTTTACCGAGGACGATGCGCGAGTTGATATATTTTCAAATATGGCTGCTGGCAGACATATTTGATTTTGAATCACGATGCCTCGAACTAACAGGGAACTATAAATAGTGAACACCGCTTTCACCAGGTTTCAGGATTCTGGCTGCTATACTGATACCGCAGGCTTGATGCCTCAAACAAACTTGAATTCCCTGATGGTAACAAACACCCACAAGAGATTTCAAGCCGAATCCATCGAAAGTTTCACGACGATTGTCGACAAATACCGTAAGGACTAGACTAAAATATAGTCTATATTGCACGATACATTGCTCTCTTCTATAATTAAAACAAATAATTTTCCTGATGCTGACGTGGAATAGAGCTTGCTAGAGCTGGCTTGACTTGCTTTTGTATATATATCTAGATTGGATTTGTTTTCATAGAAAAATATATATATTCTACAGTCATGATGCCGGACAACGTCAGGACAGGTGAGCTAAGAGAGAGCTCGTGAGACATTCTCTACTATTAGTTGTATTACAATGGAATGGAGATATAAATGTGTTGCATAATGGACCCTTAGAGACCGTAGCTCACCTGGATATAGATACTATGGACGTGTATTCATTGGATGCATAACAGGGCCAAAATAATCAAAATTACTCAACATAAAAAAGACGGACAGATGTTATTGTACAGATTATGCATATGCCTCATATCTTTATATCAAATAACACTACATGCATATAGAGTATAACGCGCAAATATTATGCGTAAAAACTTGGGTCAGGTGAGCTCAATAAATCTGATGTTGAGTTCTTCCAGTTATCTATTAGCAGATAAAACTTTCGGCCATTACAAAAGATTGTTGTGTATGAGATGTCAGCGAGATTGCATCTATTGTTGTCTCTCTAGTGGATTAAGTTCACGTGCACGTAGCGTGACCCGTTCCAACGACTGATCAAGGTCATTCATTCTACAAGCAGTCGTTGGAGTTCAAGAGGTCAAACGTTTTAATGGCGCTCCCGTTTCTGTTTCTAGTTTCTTTACTAAACTGTGGGCGTTTTGCACTGGGTGGCTGTTGATTATGCATTGGGCTGTTGTGTAATATACAACGATCATCATGACCGTCAACAATCTTGTTTAACGCTCGTCACGTGATGCCACCCAACATTGACTGATATATATTTATGTATGGGAGACAGTACAGGATGAAACACAAGCATCTGTACATCCATCACTATAACGAAAAACGCTGCATCTTAAAATGAACGGAGGATCACAGACCAACTTCTAGTCTCTGAGATGATCATAATTTACAGTTGTTAAAATATCTTAATAAAAAGGAGCCAGAGACTCTCTTCATTTTCACAAACTGAAGTAATCTTAGCTTGCCCACTATATTAGACTTGCATGGGCTGTATTGATATGTTTGTTTCCGGGTCTGTGTGACAGACTTGGATGATCAGACTGTCAAGTTGAAATTCTGATGTTGAGGGGCAAATTATGGGTCTCATCTTGAGGGGACCTGATTCCCGTCCTTAGAGTCAACGCAGTAACCGCAAAAGTTGAATGCGTAACGAATAACTATGGTTCAAGTTACTGATTAATATTAGTACGCTATGAATTGTTTGCAAACTGTTTGGTTCCTACCAGACGACAATCCTTACCTTAGTGGAGCGCTCTATGTGCCGTGGTCTCCCCGGGACGAGCTCACACAAACTGAGGAGCTGGTGAGTGACGCGCGCTGATGTGTGCAGGCTTTCTGCTAACTCGTGAACCTTACCCTTTAACCCCTTCCGGTCTTATCACGGGATCTACTCAGTCTCTGACCCCCAGTGTAGAACAGTACGGGCTTATGATATACCACATGTGCAGAACATTACGAATATATGACATACCACATCTATATAGAGCAGTACGAATATATGATATATCACATCTATAGAACAGTACGAATATATGATACACCACAATATATAGAACAGTGCGGATATCTGATATACCACATGTGCAGAACAGTACGAATATATGACATACCACAGCTATAGAACAGTACGAATATATGATATATCACAGATATAGAAAAGTACGAATATATGATATACCACATGTATAGAACGACTTGGATATATGAAATACCACATGTATAGAACTGCACGAATATATGATATACCACATGCATAGGACAGCTTGGATATATGATATACCACACGTATGACTAGTACGAATATATGATATACCACAGTATAGACCAGTACGGATATACGATATACCACGCGTATAGACCAGTACGAATGTATGATATACCACAGTATAGACCACTACGGATATACGATATACCACGCGTATAGCCCAGTACGAATGTATGATATACCACAGTATAGACCAGTACGGATATACGATATACCACGCGTATACACCAGTACGAATATATGATATACGACAGCATAAACCAGTACGGATATACGATATATCACATGTATAGAACACTGCGCATATATCAGTGTAAGCACTTAAACGGTCAGTGTAACAATAGCTGATCCGATATCCCCTGTCAGCCTGTGTCGGGGGCAAAGGTCATACTGACATGAAACTAGACAGAACATGTCTGTGAAACAGTGCCAGCTACTCCGTGTACAGGGGGTAGTGTGATGTGTATCAACAAATGGGCTCTACATGTGAAGTCTTCACAGCGTATATCGGCAACAAACATAGGGGTTAGACAAGGCTTCATACTACCCCTGACATTGTTCAATATATTCACAGATGATATTGAATCTTACTTTGACAAAGCTAAGAATCTCTGCTGATAACCGATTATTTCATCTGATTCATCTGATGGACTACAAGAACAATGACCTCTCCAATTTCAGTGATTAATTATCAACCAATGAAAAGACTACTGGAGTTATTTTGGTACTGAAGGGTCTCATGGATGCACTTTTAGATGGCCAATAGCAGGACATGGTGTAACGTGTCAGGGTTGTATAACTATCTCAGAACTGCCTTCCCTGCACGTGTTAAACTGTCTGTAATGATGTAGATACAATAGAGGGACAAAGAGCATACCACGTGATTTCTTCTCATATGTTTGTGGATGATTTTTATCCAGTTGTTTTATGTGACTGTGAGGTATAGGGTAAAGACACATTTTTTTTCTTAGGCATATAGATATGTTTACACCTGTAAAAATACGGGTGACGCTTTACAAGCATGTTCTGGTGTTCCTCGGCGAACAATAATTTCCAATAGCATTTTACAAATGTTTTCCGTTTCTCCCTTCAAGATATAGCACACATATTCAACAAAAAAGACTATATCAAATGTGAACCTTTTCTGTATCAATGCACAGTACACAAGACAAATGAGGTTTGAGTGATCATAGACTAATAAACACGGGGGAAGAAGAAAAACTCTTTTAGAGAAACGATACTAAACATTCAAGTCAAAACAAAGACGTTTATAAAGACCCAAAAGTGAATGTAAAAAGTGGACAATAGCTTGTTACAATGTAGCGAGGTATCACACAAGTGTGTCACCCTGCATGGCCAATCAGCGTCGGCATGTACAGTCAGGCCCGGCTAGGTGTACTCATGCTACCTATCAGTGGGGGAGATGTGGTGTGTGTACCTGCATCACTTCACATTGCTGCATCACCAGATTAGATTAAAATGCCACATTGCCCGTGTAACCTCTCACATAACCGTACTCGATGGTATCTGTATTGTCATCTCCCCGAGGCAAGGGAGTTAACTGTGGAAAACTCCCTTGCCTCGAGAAGATGGTATCTTGTAAGCGCCTTTGTTGCGAGGGTAAGGCTCAGTTCGCCGACAGGCTACACAATGTCACCACCTATGTTTTGGCTCCTACCATCAGTGACAGGATCAGGCGAGAACGTGGGGACTCTGGCGGTTGACGGGTGTCTATCTATAGGATGGCTTAAACTGTGTAGCAGCAGTATGTGTAAATTACAATACTATGCTGTGTCACTGAAAGAAATTATACGACTCTAGCAACTTTTGCTGCTGGATGGGACTACAAACAGAAAGAGCCCACAGTATCGACTAGATAGTATAGTTCTTGATATTGCTTTGACACGTTTGGCCAAACCAGACTCCACTAAAGCAGACAAAGACCGCATGTTCTTGAATTTGAAATTTGCAAACAGTGAGTTGATGCCTTTCATTTAAGCAACATTCTCAGACAAAAATCGGTTCCCGAAAATGTCCCACAATATTTATAATTTCAGGAACCACCAACAATTTCATTTTCCTTGACGAACATCATTTCACCCACTTATAGGAACGTGGTGCAGAACGTGGACTTGGCAGCTCATGATGTACATTCCACTACTTGTGGCTGCCAAGGCTCATCATGCTGCCATTAACCTGTAGCTGTAGATGACTTCTCTACTGTTGACAACCTTCGTCAGTTCAAATATGGACCATCATATCGCGAGCAGTCTCCTTTCAATTGGGGTCACATTATCATTTTTGATGCTGTCGAAGCATATGCCAAAAATAGGCCAAAAGAGCAGAGGAACCTGTTCACTGTCTTCTATAGTGGGTCAAATCAGTGCGGGATGTTGTCATCAGTAGAATGCACAAACTCAAAAAGGATATCACTGAATTGAAATAAACCCATTCTGTCCCAGCCAGCTGTGTGGACCAAAATATTGTGAGCAACCTCCTACCAACTGGGATCACAACTTTAAAATCATTATGGATGCTGTCGAAAAATACGCAAAAAATGTGCCAAAAGAGAAGAGGAACCTGTTGAATGTCTTTCAGAGTGGGTTAAGTCAGTACATGATGTTGTCATTAGTAGAATGCACAAATTTAGAAAGAGGAAACGGAATTGAAATAAACCCTCTCTGTCCCAGGCAGCTGTCTGGCTGCCCTACATGAAAAGTTTGTAGCTGTTCCCACTGACAAGGCCTCAAATAACATAACCATTATATGTAAGCATCACTACATTGATCGTTTGATCAATGAATTTGCTAGTGTTTTTTTGTCATACATTTAAGGCCTAAAACATGCATCAGTACTATCAACTTTTGACTTGACTCCAAAACCTCAAGACATGTTATTCTCTTCCCCATTGATAGCATCTTTGTAACATTTGAGGATAAGACCGTGATTTGGGCAAGAAGTAGGCATCCCCATGGGCACCAACTGTGCTCCCCTTCTTGTGGATGTGTTTCATTGTGCAGTCGAATCGGAATTTCTGTTCGGATTGGCAAAGACAAGAATACACTCTCCTGAAAAACGCACGAACGTCAAAATGTGTAGTTCGTACGCGTATAAATACCTTGCAAGTGATTCCGTAGCATTTGATTGGCTAACCAATCGATTTGTTTTGGTTTTCCCACAAACGGACTTCTCTTTCCTGATTGGCTGATAATAGAATGGGCATTTCTGCACTGTCACTGATTTCGAACTGTTGTCCAGTGTATTTGAGTTAATGATTAATAAAACAATCTCTAAAGTTATAATAGTTGACGTATTTATTTATATGAATTGACTTTCATATGTTTTTTTGCGTTTATGGAGTTATAAACGTAAAAACCGCGTCAGTTCTTAATGAACGTCGGTTTCGCGGTCGTGTGACCGACCGCTCGTCCAATGGAAAAGCCGTAGGTAAACTTCATATTATCTGTTTGAGCTTTAACTGCATTAGGTCCATCGGACTAGTGGATATCTTTCTGATATAATCCATGCCCCTCCTGTTGCTGTTATATGTGGAGTTGGTGTGTAGTACTGTGTACACGTTATCTGTTGCTGGCCATGCAGTGTGTACCTGCAGGCGAGTCTGAGCGCCCTACATAACCGTGACCTTTCCCCGCTACCTTGCTGTGTGTAATGGAGACTTGACACCCTACTTTATAACTATGAGCCTGTAAACAACAAAGGTGTGCATGAACACTTACACGCGTCCCGGTAGTGATATAAACTATTTCAAGTGAAAATCATGGTCATAATAAGCCCGTCTTGAAGAAGACCACCCTCATGAGCAACAGTTACCATCACACACACACACACACACACACACACACACACACACACACACACACACACACACACACACACACACACACACACACCCAACACACACCCAACACACACACACACACACACACACACACACACACACACACACACACACACACACACACACACACACACACACACACACCCCGCACCCCCAATAATGTTCATGTTACAATACATGGGTGTTATATCATACCTGTCTCCAGGTTAACCCTCCACAATACATGGGTGTTATATCATGTTCATATCTGTCTCCAGGTTAACCCTCCACAATACATGGGTGTTATATCATGTTCATATCTGTCTCCAGGTTAACCCTCCACAATACATGGGTGTTATATCATACCTGTCTCTAGGTTAACCCTCCACAATACATGGGTGCTATATCATACCTGTCTCCAGGTTAACCCTCCACAATACATGGGTGATATAGCATATCTGTCTCCAGGTTAACCCTCCACAATACATAGGTGCTATTTCATATCTGTCTCCAGGTTAACCCTCCACAATACATGGGTGCTATATCATACCTGTCTCCAGGTTAACCCTCCACAATACATGGGTGTTATATCATGTTCATATATGTCTCCAGGTTAACCCTCCATAATACATGGGTGTTATATCATGTTCATATCTGTCTCCAGGTTAACCCTCCACAATACATGGGTGTTATATCATACCTGTCTCTAGGTTAACCCTCCACAATACATGGGTGCTATATCATACCTGTCTCCAGGTTAACCCTCCACAATACATGGGTGATATAGCATATCTGTCTCCAGGTTAACCCTCCACAATACATAGGTGCTATATCATATCTGTCTCCAGGTTAACCCTCCACAATACATGGGTGCTATATCATACCTGTCTCCAGGTTAACCCTCAACAATACATGGGTGCTATATCATACCTGTCTCCAGGTTAACCCTCCACACCACATGGGTGCTAGATCACACCTGTCTCCTGGTTAACCCTCAACAAAACATGGGTGATATAGCATATCTGTCTCCAGGTTAACCCTCCACAATACATAGGTGCTATATCATATCTGTCTCCAAGTTAACCCTCCACAATACATGGGTGCTTTAACATACCTGTCTCCAGGTTAACCCTCCACACTACATGGGTGCTAGATCACACCTGTCTCCAGGTTTACCCTCCACCATACGTGGGTGTTATATCATACCTGTCTCCAGGTTAACCCTCCACAATACATGGGTGTTATATCACCTGTCTCCAGGTTAACCCTCCACAATACATGGGTGTTATATCATATCTGTCTCCAGGTTAACCCTCCACAATACATGGGTGTTATATCATACCTGTCTCCAGGTTAACCCTCCACAATACATGGGTGTTATATCATACCTATCTCCAGGTTAACCCTCCACAATAGATGGGTGATATAGCATACCTGTCTCCAGGTTAACCCTCCACAAAACATGGGTGTTACATCATATCTGTCTCCAAGTTAACCCTCAACAATACATGGGTGCTATATCATATCTGTCTCCAGGTTAACCCTCCACAATACATGGGTGTTATATCATACCTGTCTCCAGGTTAACCCTCCACAATAGATGGGTGATATAGCATACCTGTCTCCAGGTTAACCCTCCACAAAACATGGGTGTTACATCATATCTGTCTCCAAGTTAACCCTCCACAATACATGGGTGTTATATCATGTTCATATCTGTCTCCAGGTTAACCCTCCACAATACATGGGTGTTATATCACCTGTCTCCAGGTTAACCCTCAACAATACATGGGTGTTATATCATACCTGTCTCCAGGTTAACCCTCCACAATACATGGGTGCTATATCATATCTGTCTCCAGGTTAACCCTCCACAATACATGGGTGTTATATCATGTTCATATCTGTCTCCAGGTTAACCCTCCATAATACATGGGGGTTATATCACCTGTCTCCAGGTTAACCCTCAACAATACATGGGTGTTATATCACCTGTCTCCAGGTTAACCCTCAACAATACAGGGGTGTTATATCACCTGTCTCCAGGTTAACCCTCAACAATACATGGGTGCTATATCATATCTGTCTCCAGGTTAACCCTCCACCATACGTGGGTGTTATATCATACCTATCTCCAGGTTAACCCTCCACAATACATGGGTGATATATCATACCTGTCTCCAGGTTAACCCTCTACAATACAAGTCCCTAGAGGACATCATTTGGGGAATTCCATGGAGGAGTGAGTGAGTGAGTTAATATGTAACGTCACATCGGCAGTATTTCAGCCATATCGTGACGAGAAGGTATACATTTATAATGCATAAATTTAGACAAATCCATGGAGGAGATCTCTCGAGGACATCGTTTTAGGAAGTCCAAGGAGGATTTCACCCGAAAACATCATTTGAGGAATTCCAAGGGGGACATAACTCGAGGACATTGTTTGAGGAATTCTATGGAGGACATCATTTGAGGAATTCCAAGGATGACATCTCTCGAGGACATTATTTTACGAAGGTCCAGGAGGACTGCATTGGGGGGATTCCAAGAAGGACATCTCTCGAGGACATTATTTTACGAAGCTCCATGAGGACTGCATTTGGGGGATTCCAAGGAGGACATTTCTCGAGGACATTAGGAAGCCCCGTGGGGACTTCAATTGAGGAATTCCCAGGAGGACATTAGTCGAGGACATCATTTTAGGAAGTTCCATTATTTCATTTGGGTTTTTCAAAGGATGACATCACTTAAGGCACCATCGAGCATATTTTGCTTGACTGTGTGGACCTTCTCAAACAGTATATATGTCAGATCTTTTTCGCCGTGTAAGAAGGCATCTCATCTTAAGCTACTTGAAAAAAATTGGTCTGTATCATAAATTGTAAATATGTATACGAATAACTAACTGTTTGTCTTCAAATTTGGTGTGATCTTATTAACAAAGATTATTGAAGGCTCTGTCCAGGGGGTTAAAATGCCGTAAGATGATTGTCCCCCTGTGACACGTAATTCCTATCATAATCGATGTAACTATCATCAACAAGCCAACACACTGCTGAGCCGTTTTTATATAGGCTAGCAATGTGCACAACCACCAGAGGCTGAAGTGAGTGATGCGAGAAGCAGAGGCACCGTATATCCCAGGCCAGTGTTTTAAACAGTTGTAAATAATAGTGTTATGCCAAATATGTTTGACAATTTTTTAAATATAACTTTGTATTCATGATTCATCAATTGTTTATATATAAACTTGTTCTCGTCGCTGCATGGCTGAAATACTGCCGATGCGACGTTAATTTCAACTTACTCACTCACTCATTCATTCACATTTCTCGAGGACATAACTTGAGGAAACTCCTGGCTGACATCATTTGGGGAATCCTAGGATATCACTTGATGACATTAGTCTGAAATACAGACATCGGGCATGTTGCGTTATTTCTTAAAGTCTGAGTATGCTAACCCTAAGATACGTTTGTTTTTTCGACACAACGCTTCATTGTTTGATTTTTAAGGACTTGCACGAGATAAAATTTACATAGGCTAAAGAGGCAAGACGATGAAATGTCAACGGATATAGTGTGGTCGGTGATGTGTCATTGTAATGCCGCTTCACTGCCCCCGAGAACCCGCCACAGCCTACTCCGTCAGCAGTATGTCGACAGATATAGTGTGGGCAGTGATAACTTATTGCATGGCCGTCTCTCTCTCTCTCTCTCTCTCTCTCTCTCTCTCTCTCTCAGAAAAGCTGTTTGTATGTACTGTAAAAGAAAAAAGACATCACCGTATGTAGGGTTTTTTTTCCATTCGAAGGGGGGATACGGGCGGAAGTCTTACCATCCTGTGATCGGTCAGATCTGATGTGACATACCTGACACACGCATTCAAACAGATTTAACCAAAAAAAACATAACTTGCATGTGTAATTGTGTGTGTGTGTGTGTGTGTAGGGGGGGGGGGGGGGGGGGGGGAGCAGCCAACATACAGTACAAATTGAATCGGCACTCGATGTCGCAATGTCCACTAGTCCGCTATAACAAGGTGGTCTGTTTGTACAGTGATCCCATCTGGACCAGACAAACCAATGATCGATAGTCAAACTGTGTCAGTATACGTAGTTACGGCGGCCATGTTGTAGATGAGGGTCCCTTTCCGTCATCTGCGTGGATACTTCTAATATTCATCAGTCACTGTGACCCATCTGGAGCATCATGCATGCACGGGGTACTGAACGGAAGAATATTGTTCTGCGCAATCGCAACAGAGGTATTGGTTGAAGTGCAACGCTAAAATGTTTTCATTTCTCAACATGACATTAACTAATTAAAACATATTTTCATGACTTTGTTATTGATCACAAATTAGATTGGCGTAAGTTCCGTGTTTATTTATTTATTCGTAGAAAGGTCAGCATGACCCGACTTAACATATATATTCTAAGCTATCATAAAATCAGTTTAGAGAGATAAAAAGAACAGTGAATCACGCGTCAAAAACAACCCACATCTGTTTACGAGTATTGTGTTACATGTGCAGCTTCGTCATCAAGTCAACAACGACGCAAAAAGATGTCTGTGCAACCTTTTGGTCAAAGTTTTTAGACACATGCTAAGTATACAACTTGAGTTTGTTGCGAAAAAGCCGACGGTTTATCTTCACCTAAGGAATTAATGAAAACACAAAGGCTATTCTTTATATTTTCCAGGATGGAAAGTTGGCACAAAAACTCCGACGCAGATAAGCCAAAATAAGGTGTTCTTTGTGTATGTAAGAAACAGCTGATCGATGTAAACAATACCACGTGATAACTGCACATGGCCGACAAAGAAATATTGACCAATGAAAACACACATCATACTGGTGATGACCAATCGCTGAGCTAGGAAAAATTCACACCGTACATCCTGCCACCTGATTTACATATGTTTATAAACAGTGCGCATATTCGCATACAAAAGACCAAAGAAAGTAGGATATTTCGTGAATAATGCCTTTTCTTGGTCGCGACTGGCGATCGCCGGGCGATGAATGGGTTCGGACAGCCAGTGGATGGGAAAGGCTCAAACTTTGGAGGCTTAAAGTGTTCGAAAATCTCAACGAAAATGTGATAGCAAGGTTTGTTTTGATAGGGTAGTAGTGAGACTTCTCCTACCAGCCCACTTTCGTTATCAACGAAAAGTCTAATCACTCGCAGGTCGGCCCAAATCTTATCAGACCTCATCAGCCAATCACCATGTCCATTCATGTGTCTTATGCAAATCAATTAGAAGTAATTAGCACGTGGTACAGTGTCCATTGCTGTCCCCATATGCAGCGGGCCGTGACTCCAACAGTCACGGCAGCCATGATTGCTAACTGTTGTGTCATATCTAGAAATAGCATATTGCTTGGCGGGACAGGGGTAAATCCAGGACACCCCTTTATCGAACTGCTAGTGGGTTTTCTTGCATGCCCTTATAAGGCGCATATGGACTTGACGAATCCATGTTTGGATGTATTCAAATGAATATTTTTACTTCGCGATGACAGACACGTTTAGGTGTATATATGATCAAACTTACAGACCTTGTACATTGTCGGGGGGCACACGGAGCGCGTCACTATCTCACACAATAGGTAGGAGCATATTTGTGCAAGGTGTTTTCATCATTTCCACCTAGAATGTTTTAAATGATTGTTATCACAGTGGTTTATCCTTGACAAGCAGATGACTTGAAAAGGAAACAGTTCGAAGTAGCGTAAAATTATTGTCGCCCCCTAAGAGGGTATGTAAGTTCCATATCATTCGAGTTAACTAATACTCTCTGCTTTTAAATGTTCTCTACTAGTTTTAAATCTGTGATATTCTATTTATTGTACTGTCTGTCCATCGACAATAGGTTTTAATTTAGTCTATATATATGTATTATTAATGTATAACTTCTCGTCACGATATGGCTTAAATATTGCTGATGTGACGTTAAATAATAAATCACTCACTCACTTGTATAGTCAGTTTTTTCGGTTGTCAGTTATGAGTGAGTTAAAATTTACCGTCACATCAGGATTATTTCAGCCATAGAGCGACCAGAACAATGTTAATTATTCTATTTTTATCCAGTAGCCCTGTCGGGGAATATGTTTCTCTCTTCAGGTGAAAGGCAGATGGATTTCCGATATAAAGAACATAATGTTTAGGAGATGAAAATTTGATCTTGCAGTTTCCGCCATGTTTATTTTGAATTCAGGTATCCCCATCATTTGAACAAGTACTGATGAGTGCCTTTTGGTGGCGGTCTTTAGTTTTAAGTGTCACATTTCCTTGGAATTAAGATTTCAGAAATGATAATTATCCACAAAGTGTTGCATGGACGCGGGGAGATACTTGTAGAGCTGATATCTCATGGCGTGATTCCTGGTTGTCAGGTTGATCCGACTTGCTTTGGTGGACACCAGCCAGAGAGACGTAATGGAGCGGCGACAGCCCTTTATACAGTACCACCGGGGGACGTCCAAGGAGGTGAGCTGTTTACCCAGATGATTTGGTTGGTTTGTTGTTTAACACCGCACTCAGCTATATGATGGCGCTCTGTAAATAATCGAGTCTGTAAATAATCATGAGCATCGATCCACACAATTGGGATCGATGACATGCATGAACCAAGTCAGCAAGCCTGACCATCAGATCCCGTTAGTCACCTCTTACAACAAGCATAGCCACCTTTTACGGCAAGCATGGGTTGCTGAAGACCTATTCTACCCCGGATCTTCACGGGTCTTACCCAGATGTAGGGGAGAAGTGAGACAAACATCTTACATTGGTCCAGACACTTAAAAAACATGTCAAATGATTCCGAATTAATACAGTTCCTGTAGTGATTAACGTCCAGATTGTAGTTTACGGTGAACTACAGTGACAGCAATCCTACAGCTATGTTTCAGGACAACCAACTGGATATCTTCTGTGTGAGAGTTGACAGTAGAAGTACTGAGTGACAGAATTAACACTGATCTTGTGTATGACAGATAGAACTAGAAGTACTGAGTGACAGAACTAACACTGAGCTTTGAACATTCAGTTGTATGACAGATAAAACTAGAAGTACTGAGTGACAGAATTAACACTGAGCTTTGAACATTCAGTTGTATGACAGATAGAACTAGAAGTACTGAGTGACAGAATTAACACTGAGCTTTGAACATTCAGTTGTATGACAGATAGAACTAGAAGTACTGAGTGACAGAATTAACACTGAGCTTTGAACATTCAGTTGTATATGTTGACTGGTAGGTATACCTCTTTCTTCTTCTTCTTGTGGTGACAGTGGTGACAGCGTTTGCTCGTCATGCTGAAGACCCGGGTTCGATTCCCGACATGGGTACAATGTGTGAAGCCCATTTCTGGTGTCCCCTGCCACCATATTGCTGGAATATTGCTAAAAGCGGCGTCAAACCATACACACACTCACTCTTGTTCTACTTTGAGCTTTAAACTACCAAGTCTTTGCACTTTGCCTATGTGTATGTATGGAAACTTATACAATAAGACACATAGTTCAACAAAGAATGAACAGACATACACATGCTTATGTGTGATAGGAAAACTTATATTGACAATGTCCTGGGGCCTCTAAATCTCAGACTGACAATGCCCTGGCGCTTCTGGAATTTAGATTGACAATGTCCTGATACAGCTTATACAACGATGTTGCAGCGCAAGGAACTCACCAGCATCAGTGAGGCCTTCATCCGCCTGGACATGACCGGAGCTGTGAAGGACATTCGCAGATTTAACTACGTGTGTAAGGTAGGTCAAATAACAGTGATAATTAACATCGTGAAGGCATCTGGTATTGACACCAATAATAGTGCAACAAAAGCTTATACTAGCTTTACAGAATTTGGGATTAACCTCCATGTAAAGGACTGAAACAACAGCATGCCCTAGTCAGACAGTGAGAATGTCCCGCGTAATGCCAGGGTTGTGGGAGAATGTCCCATGTAATGCCAGGGCTGTGTGAGAATGTCCCATTTTATGCCAGGGCTGTGTGAGAATGTCCCATTTTATGCCAGGGTTGTGTGAAAATGTCCCGCGTAATGCCAGGGTTGTGTGAGAATGTCCCATTTTATGCCAGGGCTGTGTGAGAATGTCCCATTTTATGCCAGGGTTGTGTGAAAATGTCCCGCGTAATGCCAGGGTTGTGTGAGAACGTCCCGCCTAATGCCAGGGTTGTCTGAGAATGTCCCATGTAATGCCAGGGTTGTGTGAGAATGTGCCATGTAATGCCAGGGTTGTGTGAGAATGTCCCATGTAATGCCAGGGCTGTATGAGAATGTCCTGCGTAATGCCAGGGTTGTGTGAGAATGTCCCGTGTAATGTCAGGGCTGTGTGAGAATGTCCCGCGTAATGCCAGGGTTGTGTGAGAATGTGACATGTAATGCCAGGGTTGTGTGAGATGTCCAGCGTAATGCCAGGGCTGTGTTCCAGTGTAATGCCAGGGCTGTGTTCCAGTGTAATGCCAGGGCTGTGTTCCAGTGTAATGCCAGGGCTGTGTTCCAGTGTAATGCCAGGGCTGTGTTCAAGTGTAATGTCAGGGCTGTGTTCCAGTGAAATGCCAGGGCTGTGTTCCAGTTTAATGCCAGGGCTGTGTTCCAGTGTAATGCCAGGGCTGTGTTCCAGTGTAATGCCAGGGCTGTTCCAGTGTAATGCCAGGGCTGTGTTCCAGTGTAATGCCAGTGCTGTGTTCCAGTGTAATGCCAGGGCTGTGTTCCAGTGTAATGCCAGGGCTGTGTTCCAGTGTAATGCCAGGGCTGTGTTTCAGTGTAATGCCAGGGCTGTGTTTCAGTGTAATGCCAGGGCTGTGTTCAAGTGTCATGCCAGGGCTGTGTTCCAGTATAATGTCAGGGCTGTGTGAGAATGTCCAGTGTAATGCCAGTGCTGTGTTCCAGGTGCTGCATCTGATCCTGGGCTCGAAGCTGAGTGGGCTGAGTGGGACTGCCCAGAAGCAGGTGATCAACATCCTGGAGGCCACCTCCGAACAAGGTGACCTTATAACCCCTTACTTTATTGATCCAGATCTCTCCTCCATTGACAGTGACAGGGTTACTTTTCCTTTAGTCGTTTGGAAAGTTTTTTGTTTTAGCATCTGTCAGAACTCAGATGCCTCTGATGTCCTGGTGCCTCTAGAACTCAGACTGACAATGTCCTGGCGCCTCTAGAGTGGTTGGTTGGTTTGTTGTTTAACGCCGCACTCATCAATATTACAGCTATATGACGGATGTCTGTTAATAATCGAGTCTGGACCAGACAGTCCAATGATTGATATCATGAGCATTGCTCCACACAGTTGGGATCGATGACATGCATCAACCAAGTCAGCGAGCCTGACCACCCGATCCCATTAGTGGCCTCTTACGACAAGCATAGTCGCCTTTTACGGCAAGCATGGGTTGCTGAAGATCTATTCTACCCCGGATCGTCACGGGTCTACTGGGGCCTCTACAATTCAGATTGACAATGTCCTGGCGCCTCTAGAACTCAGACTAACAATGTCTTGACCCCTCTACAACCCACATCACATTGGGTACATTTGTTTTTTAAGTCACATTGTTTCAATCAAATATGACAGATACCTGGGTCAGGTAATAGTGCTCTGGGTACCCGGGTATCAATTTTCCTCCAGTCCCAGCCCTAAGTGTACCACATGCTAGTGTGGTATCGCAGTAGAAGCATCATGTCTCAATGCCTTACATTGTAATGGTGTACTAGTTCATTGTGTGTAGATCTTGGTTGTGTCACACACTCGTTTACGTTTCCAGCTTTTAACACATACTGGCTCATCAATAAAGCAAGCCTGGTTGGTTATGCTATCTGTTGTGGTTGACTTCTAGTTACAAGGACGGAATACTGATAGTGAGTTTTGTGTTCCAGTATTGAAGACTGAGTACAGTCTGAGCACGCTCCGTGAACTTCTGAAGTCAGCTGACCTGGCGCTCCAGCAGGGGAAGACTTCCCACATCGGCAGCGCGAGGCTGTGGATGCTTCACCAGCAGAAGGTCACCAAGATGAACTCCAAGGTGGACGCCTACAAGATGACAGAGGTACGTGACAGTCGGTTGGTCAGGTTGTTCACCGTATTTGATATATTATATTTCATGTATATACAGCGTGTAATCATGGTAATCAAGTTCCTCAACAAGAGAGTTAAATGTTGTTTGACACTTGTCTACCTCAACAGCAGGAGAGTTAAACGTTGTTTGACACTTGTCTACCTCCACAGCAGGAGAGTTCAAAATTGTTTGACTTGTGACACTTGTCTACCTCCACAGCAGGAGAGTTCAACATTGTTTGACTTGTGACACTTGTCTACCTCCACAGCAGGAGAGTTAAACGTTGTTTGACATTTGTCTACCTCCAAAGCAGGAGAGGTAAACATTGTTTTACTTGTTTTCACAGCGGGAGTGTGATGGGAAGCTGACGATGATGGACCTGCCAGAGGATTGTATCCGTGGTATCTTGAGCTGCCTGGCAGACCACAAGGACATTCTACACACCTCCCAAACCAGCCAAACCGTCTATGAGTTGTCGCAGGAAGCGCAGCTCTGGAAGCAACTCTGCTTCTTCCACTTCACAGACAAGCAGCTGGTGACCTTCCTGCCCGTCGCCATCCACCAGCCCACCATCGACTGGAAGTACATCTACAGACGATGCTACAAGTAAGACATGTTCTAGAGCTGCAATACCGCACTTCAGCTAGATAACCAGTTTAAGATTCCAAATAAATATTTGTTGTTTAACACTGTCGGCAATATTCAAGCTGTTTCGGAACAGCCTGTAAATAAGTCCAGACATACCAGTGGTTGATATTGTGAGCACCCTTCCACACAGTCGGAGTATGATCACTCAGACCAGTCACGGAGCCTAATCACCCAGTCTGTTGAAGTCAGCTCTTACAGCAAGCATAAGCTACTACGATAATCCACTAAGGGAAACATTGCAAGTAAGGCTCTAAAAAAATAAAAGAATTGGTTCTAAGGCACTGACTTTTGAAAATATAGTGTTTTGTTTGCTTGTTCAAACTAGTAATGTAACCAAATAACAGTTGTGTATCATCAACCTTGGAAAGGGCCTCCCTACATAAACAAGCATACAAGCTCCTATTGCCGCCATGACCATAACACGAGATGTGCAGTAAAGCAGTGGGCATGTAAAGGGAAGTAACTGCATGCTATGTTGGATCACATTATTTTTAAGTATTAGGATTTTTATGGGTTTTTTTGAAAATGGAAGTAAAATCAAAACGTGCAACAGACTTCATGATGATGCGGGCAGTGCCTGAGGACCAAGACTATTATTTTTTTAGCCAAAAGGCAGTGCCGGCATATTTAGGCTAGTAGTATCATTGTAGGGCTAGGCGAAACTGGTGCTTGAGTGAGTGAGTGAGTGGTTTTTTTTATTTGTTTGTTAGTTGTTTAACGCCACAATATTCCAGCTATATGACGACGGTCTGTAAATAATCGAGTCTGGACCAGACAGTCCAGTGATTAATATCATGAGCATCGATCCTAGTAATTGGGCTTGATGACATGCATCAACCCAGTCAGCGAGCCTGACCACCCCATCCCTTTAGTCGCCTTTTAAAGCAAGCATAGGTTGCTGAAAACCTATTATACACCGGATCTTCAAGGGTCGGGGTTCTTGAGTGAGTCCGGTTGTCAGCATTTATTAACATCCCTGTATGCCAGCTTGAGCTCGGACAACAATCCAGTGTGCCGCACAGTTTTTACCGTTAATTTCCAACATGGTCAGATTTGCATGTTGTGTATGTGTCATGGCTGACATCTGCCCAATACAGATATATGTGTTGTGTATGTTGAAGTAAATGTCATCGCTGATGTCGTTGTAGGCGATTCGGGAAGAAGGACAGTTACGCTGACATGTTGGCCTTGTGTGTGCACTGCAACAACATCTTCTGGCAGGTGAGATATGGTGTCATTGTACCCATGATGGGGGGACACACCCGAAATGGGTGTCACACACTGTACCCACGATAGGGGGATTAAGGGGAGACACCAGGTATGGGTTTCACACACTGTACCCACGATAGGGGGGTTAAGGGGAGACACCAGGTATGGGTGTCACACACTGTACCCACGATAGGGGGATTAAGGGGAGACACCAGGTATGGGTTTCACACACTGTACCCACGATAGGGGGGTTAAGGAGAGACACCAGGTATGGGTTTCACACACTGTACCCACGATAGGGGGATTAAGGGGAGACACCAGGTATGGGTTTCACACACTGTACCCACGATAGGGGGGTTAAGGAGAGACACCAGGTATGGGTTTCACACACTGTACCCACGATAGGGGGATTAAGGGGAGACACCAGGTATGGGTTTCACACACTGTACCCACAATAGGGGGGTTAAGGAGAGACACCAGGTATGGGTTTCACACACTGTACCCACGATAGGGGGATTAAGGGGAGACACCAGGTATGGGTGTCACGCACTGTACCCACGATAGGGGGGTTAAGGAGAGACACCAGGTATGGGTTTCACACACTGTACCCACGATAGGGGGATTAAGGGGAGACACCAGGTATGGGTTTCACACACTGTACCCACGATAGGGGGGTTAAGGAGAGACACCAGGTATGGGTTTCACACACTGTACCCACGATAGGGGGATTAAGGAGAGACACCAGGTATGGGTGTCACACACTGTACCCACGATAGGGGGATTAAGGGGAGACACCAGGTATGGGTTTCACACACTGTACCCACGATAGGGGGATTAAGGGGAGACACCAGGTATGGGTTTCACACACTGTACCCACGATAGGGGGGTTAAGGAGAGACACCAGGTATGGGTTTCACACACTGTACCCACGATAGGGGGATTAAGGGGAGACACCAGGTATGGGTGTCACGCACTGTACCCACGATAGGGGGGTTAAGGAGAGACACCAGGTATGGGTTTCACACACTGTACCCACGATAGGGGGATTAAGGGGAGACACCAGGAATGGGTTTCACACACTGTACCCACGATAGGGGGGTTAAGGAGAGACACCAGGTATGGGTTTCACACACTGTACCCACGATAGGGGGATTAAGGAGAGACACCAGGTATGGGTGTCACACACTGTACCCACGATAGGGGGATTAAGGGGAGACACCAGGTATGGGTTTCACACACTGTACCCAAGATAGGGGGGTTAAGGGGAGACACCAGGTATGGGTTTCACACACTGTACCCACGATAGGGGGGTTAAGGGGAGACACCAGGTATGGGTTTCACACACTGTACCCACGATAGGGGGGTTAAGGGGAGACACCAGGTATTGGTTTCACACACTGTACCCACGATAGGGGGGTTAAGGGGAGACACCAGGTATGGGTTTCACACACTGTACCCACGATAGGGGGGTTAAGGGGAGACACCAGGTATGGGTGTCACACACTGTACCCACGATAGGGGGGTTAAGGGGAGACACCAGGTATGGGTGTCACACACTGTACCCACGATAGGGGGGTTAAGGGGAGACACCAGGTATGGGTTTCACACACTGTACCCACTATAGGGGGGTTAAGGGGAGACACCAGGTATGGGTGTCACACACTGTACCCACGATAGGGGGGTTAAGGGGAGACACCAGGTATGGGTGTCACACACTGTACCCACGATAGGGGGGTTAAGGGGAGACACCAGGTATGGGTGTCACACACTGTACCCACGATAGGGGGGTTAAGGGGAGACACCAGGTATGGGTGTCACACACTGTACCCACGATAGGGGGGTTAAGGGGAGACACCAGGTATGGGTTTCACACACTGTACCCACGATAGGGGGATTAAGGGGAGACACCAGGTATGGGTTTCACACACTGTACCCACGATAGGGGGGTTAAGGGGAGACACCAGGTATGGGTGTCACACACTGTACCCACGATAGGGGGGTTAAGGGGAGACACCAGGTATGGGTGTCACACACTGTACCCACGATAGGGGGGTTAAGGGGAGACACCAGGTATGGGTGTCACACACTGTACCCACGATAGGGGGGTTAAGGGGAGACACCAGGTATGGGTGTCACACACTGAAACTACGATAGGGGGATTAAGGGGAGACACCAGGTATGGGTTTCACACACTGTACCCACGATAGGGGGGTTAAGGGGAGACACCAGGTATGGGTGTCAAATATTGTACCCACGATGGGGGGATTAAGGGGAGACACCAGATATGGGTGTCACGCATTGTACCCACGATGGGGGGATTAAGGGGAGACACGGATGGGGGATTAAAGGGAGACACCAGGTATGGGTGTCACACACTGAAACTACGATGGAAGGATTAAGGGGAGACTCCAGATATGGATGTCACGCACTGTACCCATGATGGGGGTATTAAGGGGAGACACCAGGTATGGGTTTCACACACTGTAACCACGATAGCGGGGTTAAGGGGAGACACCAGGTATGGGTTTCACACACTGTACCCACGATAGGGGGGTTAAGGGGAGACACCAGGTATGGGTTTCACACACTGTACCCACGATAGGGGGGTTAAGGGGAGACACCAGGTATGGGTGTCACACACTGTACCCACGATAGGGGGGTTAAGGGGAGACACCAGGTATGGGTGTCACACAGTGTACCCACGATAGGGGGGTTAAGGGGAGACACCAGGACCCACTTGCACAAAGCAATCTTAGCACTACGACTATTGTAAGCCTATGTTAAAGTATGGGAGTAACGATCATCTTAGCGCTAGGATCGCTTTGTGCAAGTGGGCCCTGGTATGGGTTTCACACACTGTACCCACGATAGGGGGGTTAAGGGGAGACACCAGGTATGGGTTTCACACACTGAAACTACGATGATATGGGGGGACAGTTCAAAGCTATTTAGTAATGAATGCGATTTTGTGAATATTTCTGGAGATGTCCTGTAATCAATGCCCCAAAGGTAGGCCAAGGGAGATTACTTGAGGAACATTGCTATTTCACAGTCCTGCTTTTGGTTAACACATAAACATCTTCTTTGTTTTCGTTTCAATAATTTACACATGAAGATGTACCCACGATAGGGGGGTTAAGGGGAGACACCAGGTATGGGTGTCACACACTGTACCCACGATAGGGGGGTTAAGGGGAGACACCAGGTATGGGTGTCACACACTGTACCCACGATAGGGGGGTTAAGGGGAGACACCAGGTATGGGTGTCACATATTGTACCCACGATGGGGGGATTAAGGGGAGACACCAGATATGGGTGTCACGCATTGTACCCACGATGGGGGGATTAAGGGGAGACACGGATGGGGGATTAAAGGGAGACACCAGGTATGGGTGTCACACACTGAAACTACGATGGAAGGATTAAGGGGAGACTCCAGATATGGATGTCACGCACTGTACCCATGATGGGGGTATTAAGGGGAGACACCAGGTATGGGTTTCACACACTGTAACCACGATAGGGGGGTTAAGGGGAGACACCAGGTATGGGTTTCACACACTGAAACTACGATGATATGGGGGGACAGTTCAAAGCTATTTAGTAATGAATGCGATTTTGTGAATATTTCTGGAGATGTCCTGTAATCAATGCCCCAAAGGTAGGCCAAGGGAGATTACTTGAGGAACATTGCTATTTCACAGTCCTGCTTTTGGTTAACACATAAACATCTTCTTTGTTTTCGTTTCAATAATTTACACATGAAGATGTCAGTGAATGTTATATCACACTGCATTCACCATTAATCATTCAGCATTAATCATTCACCATTAATCGCATTGTGGTATGTAAGTCTGACCAGAGCAACACTTTACACCCTTTCTAACATGGAGAATCTCACCCGGGTGTCTGTTGATATATGAATCAATAAAATTTTAAACACTGAGGCTTCCAGATTGTTCATATTTTGATATTAAAAGACACGAGGGTGAGAATTTATTCATCATCCAAAATCATTCTTCCGATTTTTTCCAGTCCAGTAATTACCAGTGTCTTGAGTGTAAAAAGTTCATCAGCGATGAGTAATGTCATTTGATTGTGATGTCATGGTAACCAATGATGTCACAATGGTCTGCAAAGCATTGTGATGCTCCTGGGAGATATTGCTTGATCTCACCCAAGCTATATCTCCCGTGGAAGCCAGTTTAAGGGGACAAATGTCACACTATCAACATCCCATATGGTGACTCTCCACTGGACAAGTGTTAGTTGCTGGGAACCTGTTCCGCCCCTGATCGCCATTGGGCAAGGAAAATGTCCGAGTTGCCAGGTTAATTGGCTTATTTGTGATTCTGCTCCACTGTTTCAGTCCCTGGGCCACCCATGCTACAGCGAAGAGCCTCCAGCATCCACACCTCTCAACCCTGAAGAGTTTCTCAAACTCTTCTCCCTGTGAATTGTCTCCCTTTGTCATCGGCCTGCCAGCATTATGTGATAAGCTTTCATTGTTTGTGAATTGACGATGTCAGCATACAGACTCTCATCCCTGCCCAGGTTGCCTTTGACCAACATGGCTGAAAACAACACCAGATACAGTTAGTTGAGTTAGTATGTGATCGGTAACGTGAATTACCGCGTCACCTGCTGGGCGAGTCAAGTAGCTTGAATGATGGGACGGATGCTGGGAACCAGGTGTGCGTTGGAAGGGATCCACCGATATATGTCCCAGTAGCTCCACCTGGTTGTCAGGCCGGGAAACATTGATTGAAGACCACCAACACAAGTCTTGTTTACAACCTGGTTTCACAGACACGTTTGTACACATCATATTTTAATACTGCATCCAGGTTGTGAGCTCTAAGTTTGCTAGTCTCCCTGTGATGTAAAGCTGCAGTTCGGGAATCTAGGACGGGTGAATCTCATTACGCTTGTCAGTATTTAAGATAAAGGAGATATGATGTGAATGGTTTATTATCAGATACTTAATACTCAGTCACTTGGGGAGAACTGTCACGACAATCGACTTACCACCAAAGACCGTTTTGTTCTCACTTTGAATTGCGATTGCACAGAAGACGAGTATAGTCAACCTTATAGTAAGTATAGCCTACAAACATGACATGGAAACTTCAACAACTTTAGTTGGAACACTGTCGCTTGCTTCAACCGACACAGCAGGTATCTCGTTACTGAAACATCTGCAAAGTCAAATCCCTAGTATTGGAACATGCACTGCTAGAGGGGTGGATACATACAGTTGTACAGACAGGATTGTGACGCCAGTAGCACCAAGTCGGTACACTCTTTCATACAATGAACTGAAAGTAGGTTGTTACCCCATGACACTCATGGAGCAGTTGTGTGGTTAGGATTTTATGAGTACTTCGATCACTTATTACATTTAATCCATGTGCCGTGATAGATCTGAATGTTACAGAGATCTGTCAAATGTGATATGTGCTGATTGGTTGTTGTCAAAGATCTGAAATTATATAATGTTAAACAAAGTAATCAAAGTCGATCAATTACATTTGATAATGTGCAAGTCAATGCAAGACTCTGTGGTGACAGTGTCAGAGTGCCAGAGCCAGGCCGGAGTGACGAGGGTCATGGGCAGTTCCTGGACTGAGGAAAGCATGAACACACTGTTTTATTTCTCCTACTTTGTTATATGCTCATGTACATATATTTGAATGTATTTTATTCGGACAGTTTACTTGTTTTTGATGTTGTATTTTGTACCATATTTATTTTCCATGTAATTTGTTATGGCCTAGTGTGTGATGGAGTTGGGAGTTGTCAGCCGTTGTGTGATGGCACTGGTATGTCTATGATAGTTCATGGCGAAGTTGTACAAGAAATTATCTCTCCTCAAATGCGTTTGTACCAAGTTTGTAGGACGCATAAATGACACCTCATGTTCATGATGAACTACCGACCAAAGTATCTACATACACACGCCATGACTGTCACTGAAACTGTACTCGACAGATCCAAGCAATGGCATCACTAAATTATGCTAAAAGAATTTTACACCCGTGATGAAGTGAGGTATCCCGTGAAGATCCGGGATAGAATAAGTCTTCAGCAACCCATGCATGCCGTAAAAGGCGACTATTGAGTGGTCAGGCTCTCTGATTTGGTTGGCGCATGTCATTGTATCCCAATTGCATGGATCAATGCTCATGATGTCAATAACTAAATTGTCTGGTTCAGACTCTAATATACCACTGTCATGTAGCTGGAATATTGCTGAGTGCGGCATTAAACAAACAACATATTATATCCCACCCTTTACTTTAACTATGACCGCCACCTTAAGGTTTGACATAAATGATTGTGATATATTGCAGAGTATCCCATCAGTGTTGACGTAGAGATGTACTGATTCAGACGATGTTAAGTTTTCCAACTTAGATGCTATTGTACACATCGGATGTGACAAGAACTGATGAATCTGTAAAGACATTTTCTTTGATTGTTGGTGACCTGTGTGGGTCCCAGTCCATGAACATCATCATCAAGATACGACCACGTCTCCCAGTCAGGGGACCACCACATCAATTTTGTCCTCTTATAAGATGCTGGGGACTCCGAGTCGGGGGACCACCACATCAATTTTGTCCTCTTATAAGATGCTGGGGACTCCGAGTCGGGGGACCACCACATCAATTTTGTCCTCTTATAAGATGCTGGGGACTCATTCTAACCTGGAATCCCACGAGGTCACACTCATTCGGTCCTTATCATAGATTGTATTCAATTTTAGCAGATAGTCTTTCAAGCACTCATTTACATGTTCAGAGTGCCGCGGCAAAACAATATGGCTGAGATAGTTACGTGCATGTGTGACTGCGACTGTGTGATTGTGTGGGAGATGTGGAACATGGTACTTAGAACTGGCAAGTACAGCAGTGTGTCTTCTAGTCACTATTGGTTAACAATTGTTAACGTTTGTTGTCCACAAATCTGTTCATTCTTGATGTCATGTGACCTGTAACCTTTTTGTTCTATCATGCAACACATTCTTGCTTCATATATGTTGAGAGTTATCTCCCCTGCTCATGACGGGATCAAGGTTGTGATGTTGCCAAGGTCAGCAGAAGTAGGACTAGTATGTTGTTTGATGGTTATATCGATATTATATTATTTATAACCAGTGTAATCGCTTGAGTAATATATTAGTTGCAGGGCCTTCTTGTTAAGTGGATTTCATCTGTACAGGGAAAGAACTCGCCTGGCAGAATCCAAAATCGCCTTTCTGGTGTGCCAGATGTATTAGAGAAGGAATAAAAGATTATTGCATGTCAGTGTTTTGTGCGTGCAAGTCCTTGTTTGAACTGTATGCTGTGTTTTGCCAGTGAGCAGTGTTGAACAGTCACAGCCTTGTCATGAATTGAGGGACGTCAACTCCTTGTGAAGATGTCTCCCTTCTATAAACGTTATGTAAATAGTGCAGTCAGCTGACAATTAGTTGAAGTGTGGTTAGCTAGAGAAATGATATATATTTTGGTTAATAAAGATAAAGAATGAATGAAAATGTTTGTTTAGAAATCGGGCCCAGTATTAAGTGTTCCTGCACATTGTTGAGATGTCTGTAACCATGAAAAGATCTTCAGACAGAATACAGTGTTAGTAAATGGTCTCACAAATAGTCTCATGTACTGATACCAATTATTATCAAATTTTGATGCTTCGGCATGAATATTAATGAGAATAGCTTCAAGAACTTTGGGACTGGCCAGTCACCTTTTGGGTGGGCAACAAATATTAGTGGGAACAAGGTTCATTTGTACCAGAAAATACTGGTGGTGGGGTGTGGTGGGGATAGAGACAGGAAATGGTTTGCTGGCCAGGCTGGCTATCCTGGGAGAATGTGTTGTTAGAAAATATAGTCTCCTCCTTACAGGGACATGTGTTTCAAAGAAGTGGGGCGGGGACGGGTCCAAATTTACTACCCGGGTACCCACCCCCTATGACCCTACCCTACCCGTCGACCCACTGTAGGTCTCAAGAGTTGGGAACAAATTGCCTGATAAGGAATTGTTTTACCATTTTTTAAGTTTAAAAACTATTTGGATATATGTTTCAAATGATCAGATCATGCATACACTGAAATTGACTAACTACGGGATAGACCTGTCGGTACCCGGGTCCTACTGAGGACCCACCTGACCCGAGTACCCGAGTCATTTAATATGTGACAACTGACGAAGGAACTGAAAGAACAAAACAGTCACAACATCAGAACACTGGAATCGTGTTCATTGCTTGCATCGAGCCCCTAGAACTCTCACTTGTATTTATATGTTTTGCAACAATATTTTTGATGGTGTTAAGTTATTTTGTGGCATAGAATCTCATATGCTTTGGATAACATCGTTAAATAGATTTCTAACATTGAGTAGAATCATTATAAGTTGTGACCTTTTAGGTCAACAAACGTTATTCATGTGATACTTGTTGACAACTTGTGAACTACTAACTCATGTTCCCATGTGCTGTAGTCGCTAAAACAAGTCTAGATATATTTATTGTTGGAGAAACATTCTTAACTTGAATAAAAATGTGACAATATGAAGTTGTTGTATTTTTATTGTGACGTGGATGAACCAGGATCAGAATTACTCTTCCTACAAACAAATGTGACAAGGATTGGAATTACTCTTCCTACAAACAAATGTGACAAGGATCGGAATTACTCTTCCTACAAACAAATGTGACAAGGATCGGAATTACTCTTCCTACAAACAAATGTGACAAGGATCGGAATTACTCTTCCTACAAACAAATGTGAAAAGGATCGGAATTACTCTTCATACAAACAAATGTGACAAGGATTGGAATTACTCTTCCTACAAACAAATGTGAAAAGGATCGGAATTACTCTTCATACAAACAAATGTGACAAGGATCGGAATTACTCTTCCTACGAACAAATGTGACAAGGATCGGAATTACTCTTCCTACAAACAAATGTGACAAGGATCGGAATTACTCTTCATACAAACAAATGTGGCAAGGATCGGAATTACTCTTCATACGAACAAATGTGACAAGGATCGGAATTACTCTTCATACGAACAAATGTGACAAGGATCGGAATTACTCTTCCTACAAACAAATGTGAAAGGGATCAGAATTACTCTTCCTACAAACAAATGTGACAAGGATCGGAATTACTCTTCATACAAACAAATGTGACAAGGATCGGAATTACTCTTCATACAAACAAATGTGACAAGGATCAGAATTACTCTTCCTACGAACAAATGTGACAAGGATCGGAATTACTCTTCCTACAAACAAATGTGACAAGGATCAGAATTACTCTTCCTACAAACAAATGTGACAAGGATCGGAATTACTATTCATACAAACAAATGTGATAAGGATCGGAATTACTCTTCCTACAAACAAATGTTACGTGAAATTGAGTTTAACCCTTTGATTGATCTAGCAACATGTAAATACATGTGTGTGTGTCTGCATGTATACTCAGACACATCAGACCCGTGAAGATCCGGGGTAGAATAGGTCTTCAGCAACCCATGCTTGCAGTAACAGGCGACTGCTTGTCATAAGAGGCGACAAACAGGATTGGTTGGTCAGGCTCACTGACTTGGTTGATGCATGTCATTGATCCCAATTGCATGGATTGATGCGTATGATGTCAATCAGTGGATTGTCTGGTTCAGACTCGATTATTTACAGACCGCCGTCATATAGCTGGAATATTGTTGAGTGCGACATTAAACAACAAACAAACAAAACATCATGCTGACTGCTAGCCAGCCAATCCTTGTTTTATCTCATTAACGCTCAGCCCCAGGCCAGGCAACAACAAGTACCATCTTTTAAAGTCTTTGGTTATTCTGCAGTCAGTGGATTGAACCACCAACCTTCCACTCTCTTGACCATGGAGGATCAACCAAGTCACCAAGCCTGATCACATGATCCTTTACATGACGTCTGGTGACCAGGATTGGTTGCTGGCAACGTACCCCAACCAGGCGTCCCCATGGGTTCCCGATGTAGTCAGTTGCCTCTTTAAGACTAATGGTGTTCGGGGACCTCAAGGACTCAGGTACTACAAGTGATTGCAAAACACCGATTGCTTTGTTTGTATAGTTTATTTTCTACACATCACAATATCCCTTTGTAGTCTTGAAAAAACTCTACAAAGATGATGCGGCATGTCACAGACTGTGAATCTGTGTCACTTGCTAAAGTGTCACATTACACTATACACATAGCTGAGTGTTTTACACCTGGACTGACAGCAGGCATACATTATGCAATAATCTTCTGCAGTTGTTTGTTGAGATGAGTGACTGTTTGTGAGACAAATACTGTTCTGGTTAATTAGCTTTAATTTGCTACATGATCAATCGATGTCTATCTTTGTGACAGCACAGGTGGAGGGGTGTGTGTAACCTGCACCCCAAAAATTGAAAAAGAAAATATCTTACAATGTCAAAATCATGTTAAATCAAGGTTACTCGACATACATGGAATCCACACCGGTATTATATATACAACACAGGTCTCCCATATCTAATCAAACAATCACATATATTCTGTATCCGGCTGGTGTTAATACCCAATCAGCTTCTCCACCCCTACAGGACCCCTCCTCCAACCCCTCTCCCTCGGGACCCCTCACCTTCCCACTCTCCCAAGAAGACTTCGCCACCTTTACAGGCCCCCTCCTCCAAGCCCCCTCCCAAGAAGCCCTCGCCACCTCTACAGGACCCCTCCCAAGAAACCCTCGCCACCTCTACAGGACCCCTCCTCCAAGGCCCCTCCAAAGAAGCCCTTGCCACCTCTACAGGACCCCTCCTACAAGCCCCCTTCTGAGGGACCTCATAACCACCTCTACAGGACCCGTCCTACAAGCCCTCTCCCTAGGGACCCCTCAACCACTCCCTCCCTCTAGAAGATTTCTCCACCTCTACAAGACCCCTCCTCCAAGCCCTCTTCTGAGGGACCCCTCAACCACCTCTACAGGACCCCTCCCCTACCCCCATAGGGGCCACTCCCAGAACTACACTTGCTGATCGGTCACCTGACTGAGCTGTCACGCTGTCACTCTCAGCTGACTGGGGGGTCTATGACACGCTCGCTGACACAGGGGGCAGATGTCCTCTTTCACTCCTGGTATCATCAGGTTATATCCCTCGCCTCATTCTGTTGATTCAGAGGCTTTGTCACTGAAATCAAATTGTCACATATCAGTTCATAGCCCCCAGTTTATAATGTCACACACAAAGTCACATGTCACACGATAATAATGTCACACACAAAGTCACATGTCACACACAATAATAGTCACACATAAAGTCACATGTCACACGATAATAATGTCACACACAAAGTCACAATATCACACACAATGTCACATGTCACACAAATCACAGTGCCACAATCCCCATGTGACATGGAATATCACACGACAAGTGTTGCACGTCTCACTTGTGTCACTGCCATTTCACACTACCTGTGTCACATGTCACACTACCTGTGTGATATGTCACCCCCATGAAGATCACAGTTCGAGTTGGTCTTCAGCAACCCATCCTTGTAAAAGGCGACAATGCTTGTCGTAAGAGGCGACTACCGGATCGGGTGGTCGGTTTCACTGACTTGGTTGATGCATGTCATCCTATCCCAATTGCATAGATCAATGCTCATAAATTCCATCATTGGTTTGTCTGGTCTAGACACGATTATTTACAGACCGCCGCCATATACCGGTAGTTGGAATATTGCTGAGTGCGGTGTAAACAACAAACAAACATGTCACACACCACCTCACATTGTAATCTCACACTACCAGTGTCACATGTCACACTACCTGTGTCACATGTCACACTACCAGTGTCACATGTCACACTACCTGTTAAGCATGGCAGCTCTCCGCATCTGTTTCCGCTGTTTACTGAGTGCCCGCTTGTGCTTCCGACTGCTTGTGTGAGCTGAAACCAAAAGTTAACCTTTCCTGACCCTTTCTCGCAAAGCAGGCGCAAGACTGACGAGTCAGCGGACTCAACATCAAGGAATGCCAATGTTAATTAGTGCTGACTGCTGAAATCTGTTCTCCCACCAGTCAAATAACTCGTGGAACTGCATTACCGATGATTCATATTAGGAAAGGAAAGTTACTCGACAATCTAGCACTGTACTTTTCTTTTTTGCTAAAACAGTGTTAGCCACGTTGCATGTTGTCTGAAATCACTCACTTACACACACACTGCCATCACATACCTTCCCACTCCAGCAAGGTTGTGAACACACGCCCTGCACACACGTCGCACACGTTGTAGACATGCTCCGTCACAGCCCCTCCCGACTCCAGAGGGGGGACACCTGGACTCTCATCCTGAAACACACAAACTGTTACCTATAACTTCATGACTGCCTAGGGGTTAACGTCTGAGACCTGCATCACTTCGGGCTTTCCTCCCACATTAAGCTGACACGTCGCGATATAACTGGAATACTGCTAAAAGTGGCGTTTGAACCATTTTCCCAAGGCAAGAGAGTTAACTGACTTTAAGAAGTCCAGTTTCCACCCTTGCCGAACTAGGCTGGTATTATGGAGTTACATTTTGGCTGGACTAACGAGTCTATGAATAGTCCAATCAAACTTGCGCAACGAAATCGAAATCCGGTTCGTAACTGATGTGCAGATTTCAATCGATTGCAGGATTTGCAAAGCATGTGCACCGACAACTCGTTGTCAACACATATTTTCAAATCTTTTCATGTTTTTAATCAAGGTGCTCACATGATTTGATGCACTTCACTATGTAAGACCTGTTTAATCACAATATAGATCTTGATTATCAATCAGATCGTCTTGACTGGGCGTTGCCATTTTGTTTGAAACAAATGCAAGTGATACGAGAGGTGGAATCTGATTTGTCCATAGGAGAGGTTTAGAAGGGACATAACTCGTAATAACCACTGGTGGCACTACGATCGAGACCAGGAATCCCGGCCTAGTTCGGCAAGGGTGGAAACTGGACTTTTAAAGTCAGTTAACTCTCTTGCCTCGGGAAGATGCGTTACAACCCAATTCACTCACTAATGACTGCCTAACTTGATTCTGTTGTTGCAAGTTCCTTTGTTAAGCGTTATACATCCCAATTAAGTAATTATGGTAACAGTTCTCAGACAATCCTGCAAAGAATAGAACTTTTTGTAGAAAATCCAAAATTGCATGACAATTTCAGTGATCTGTTAATATGCGTATAAGGTTTCATGGATAACATGTGAAAGAAATGAACACTACAACCCATCTGGTTTAAAAGCCACGCTTTGGTTATGAAAGTAACCTGTATTTGGGTTAAGTCCAACTTGTTGCCAAGGAAACAGCAAAAGGCACCAGTTCAGCATGTGTTTTATACATATGCAAAGTTTCATAACAAAACACAAAAAGGCACCAGTTCATCATGTGTTTGATACTTATGCAAAGTTTCGTAAAACCCATTCCTATATCCCCATCGTGGCAGGGGATAATAAGACATTCTTGTGATAGATATTCCAGCCATACAGCCTGCTAGCAATATATACATTTCAGTATTAATGCCTAGCAATTAATATTATACCAGTACTCCCTATGATATTCCACAAAACAACACAGGCCTATGTTACCTCTTGTATTGCTGTAAGTATGTCACAGGCCGGCTTTAAGACCTTGTCCGCCCAGAGACTGACATCCGTGGAGTCCACGCCGTACACTGGCAGCACACCGGGCCCCGGGCCTGCAAAGAGTGAGTGAGGGAGTTGGGTTGTAATATCCTTATCTCAGCAACATCACAGTCACACACACAGATACACTGTCACACACACATTGATACACTGTCACACACACTGCCACGCACACACATTGATACACTGCCACACACAGATACACTGTCACACACTACCACACACACACATTGATACACTGCCACACATATTGATACACTGACACACACAAACTGATACACTGTCACACACAGATGCACTGTCACACACACACTCAGATACACTGTCATACACACTGCCACACATATTGATACACTGTCACACACACTGATACACTATCACACACACATTGATACACTGCCACACACACATTGATTGACTGTCACACACACATTGATACACTGTCACACACACATTGATACACTGTCACACACACTGATTCACTGTCACACACACATTGATACACTGCCACACACACTGATACACTATCACACACACATTGATACACTGCCACACACACTGATACACTGTCACACACACATTGATACACTGCCACACACACTGATACACTGCCACACACACATTGATACACTGCCACACACACATTGATACACTGCCACACACACATTGATACACTGTCACACACACATTGATACACTGTCACACACACATTGATACACTGTCACACACACTGATACACTGTCACACACACATTGATACACTGTCACACACACATTGATACACTGCCACACACACTGATACACTGTCACACACACTGATACACTGTCACACACACATTGATACACTGTCACACACACTGATACACTGTTACACACACATTGATACATTGCCACACACACTGATACACTGTCACACACACATTGATACACTGCCACACACACTGATACACTGTCACACACACATTGATACACTGCCACACACACATTGATACAAAGTCACACACACATTGATACACTGTCACACACACATTGATACACCATCACACACACATTGATACACTGCCACACACATTGATACACTGCCACACACACTGATACACTGCCACACACACTGATACACTGTCACACACACATTGATACACTGCCACATATTGATACACTGTCACACACACATTGATACACTGCCACACACACTGATACACTGTCACACACACATTGATACACTGCCACACACACTGATACACTGCCACACACACTGATACACTGTCACACACACATTGATACACTGCCACACATTGATACACTGTCACACACACATTGATACACTGTCACACACACTGATACACTGTCACACACACATTGATACACTGTCACACACACTGATACACTGTCACACACACTGATACACTGCCACACACACTGATACACTGCCACACACACTGATACACTGTCACACACACATTGATACACTGCCACACACACTGATACACTGCCACACACACATTGATACACTGCCACACACACATTGATACAATGTCACACACACATTGATACACTGTCACACACACATTGATACACCGTCACTCACACATTGATACACTGTCACACACACTGATACACTGTTACACACACTGATACACTGTCACACACACACTGATACACTGCCACACACACTGATACATTGTCACACACACATTGATACACTGTCACACACACTGATACACTGTCACACACACATTGATACACTGTCACACACACATTGATACACTGCCACACACACATTGATACACTGTCACACACACATTGATACACTGTCACATACACATTGATACACTGTCACACACACATTGATACACTGTCACACACACTGATACACTGCCACACACACTGATACACTGTCACACACACACTGATACACTGCCACACACAGTGATACATTGTCACACACACATTGATACACTGTCACACACACATTGATACACTGTCACACACACATTGATACACTGTCACACACACTGATACACTGTCACACACACATTGATACACTGCCACACACTGATACACTGTCACACACACATTGATACACTGCCACACACACTGATACACTGTCACACACACATTGATACACTGCCACACACACATTGATACACTGCCACACATTGATACACTGTCACACACACATTGATACACTGTCACACACACTGATACACTGTCACACACAAATTGATACACTGCCACACACACTGATACACTGCCACACACACTGATACACTGTCACACACACATTAATACACTGCCACACATTGATACACTGTCACACACACATTGATACACTGTCACACACACTGATACACTGTCACACACATTGATACACTGCCACACACACATTGATACACTGTCATACACATTGATACACTGCCACACACACATTGATACACTGTCATACACATTGATACACTGCCACACACACATTGATACACTGCCACACACACATTGATACACTGCCACACACACACTGATACACTGTCACACACACTGATACACTGCCACACACAGTGAGTGAGTGGGTGGGTGGCAGCACAGAGAAGGGACCAGTACCATGTTCCAGTTCCCTTTGTTTATACACAATATCATTATTATTTCAAACACATATTTTAGGGTGTGTCAAGATTTGTTTGAAGATGATAGACAGCCCTTAAAATGTTGAATATTTCTTACGTTTTAAGAACCTGTTTCGTATCCACTTGACCTGCCGTTTAGCGTACTGCCGCGTAGCCAACTTTAGCAGCTCCAGGCCTGTGTCAACACATGAAAACATATGAAAAAAACCACATGAAAACATGAAAAAAAGAAAACATATGAAAACAGATGACGCACATGAGCAACTGACTGGCCGAATCAATGAATGTAAATAACACCAAGCACAAACATAAACATCAAGTCTATTCATGTCACCTGAAACCTATTTATAATAGTTCACTTTAATGTTGATAGACCAGTGCATAGTTATGTTGTCACAGAAATCCACATGTGACTAAGGGACGCAACTCTTGTTGTTTTGTGAGACCATCTAACTCACCTTCATCCCTGAGTTGTCTCCCTTTGACCGTGTCTCGCTCATCCTCAGGGAGCAACAGGTAGTTGTGAAATTCCTTGAAGCCAATGCTTTGAAACATTCCCAGAGTGTAATCACAGTGCCTGAAAGTATGCACAAAAACCTGGTCTATTTTCTGTGACTTCTGTACACATCTAATCAGGAAGATTTCAGGCATTTTTATTACATTCCTCCAATCACTATGTTCAAAGATTTTTTTTCAAATTTTACTTATAAATCATTCTGTAACCATACTGTACTGTAACAACCATGGGTTTAGATGCTTCTACTTATAACACAAACAGAACCACAAATTCAACAGTACACATGCTGCTATCACTGAGGTCACATGTTGTAAACAAGAATTATTCAATTTCTCCGGGGTCAGACAATGTTAATGTTCTGATTAAATCGGCCATCATCGGGTGTGGAAGAGATCAGGTAAACAAACACAGCGCCCCCTGGTGGAGACATTATCAAGCCTGCGGTGCCGCGTTACCTGCCGATCTAGTACAGATGGATTGATCTCAAGGTATTGCTACGTGGATGTACTACGCTAAGTGCTTGTGAGAACCTGCCACGAGGGAAGTCTGGTAGCTATCACAATGTCAACAAATTCACACACTGGGGCTCTGATAAGACAGGCTTTCATTGAGATACATGTCTTGTGTGTGTTATCTTTCCTGGAGAGCAGGTGACATCGATTTGCTACAGTCAAGTTTATTGAGTAGGATAAGGTCAACAAATAATTGACATGAAAACTGTATGTGGACAGGCTGCAGGAGTGTGTTGGCAGGTGATTCAGCCATGCAACATGTGTTGGATTTAGAACTTCATGAATTCAGGAACTATCATCACAAGTCTAGTTTTTTATTCAGATGAATTATCGATTTCATAAATGATTAATGATCACTCAACATTTTAAGTGTTTGGCAAATTCGCTTTTCAAAAAATAATTTAAGACTTTGACTTAACCTCAATAAAATGTATTAAATCATTACCATTCTTCTGAACTAAATCATTGTTTTGGAGGTATACTTGACAAAATATTAATGATAATAATAACCCAATAGTTACTACAACACAAACCAGCAACTATCTACCATCCAAATTCTGTCACAATCAGAACTGCCTCCGTGGTCTAGTGGTAGAGCGTCTGCCCGGAGAATAGAAGGTCCGGGGTTCAATCCCCGGCCGCGTCATACCAAAAGACGTTAAAAGATGGTACTTGTTGTTACCCTGTCTGGCACTCAGCATTAAGGGGCTAAAACAAGGACTGGTCGGCTCGGAGTCAGTATACTGTGTCTGAGTGGGGTATTCATGTTAAACTGCGGCATGGTATCTCAGTGGGCTAGCACTATAAATCGGCATCAGTCCGGACTAGCACAAGCAGCCACACACACACACACACACGTGTATGCATGTCGCTATATAAGTGCAATAATCTTGGACGCGACGTTAAACCCAATTTCATCTCACCTGTCACAATCAAAGATGGGCTTTCAAAATATCTCCTTAAAATTCTCTACTTCTAATGCATGAATTCAGTTTGAAACTACACCCAATTCTCATTAAAAACAGAAATTATTTCACCTGTACATATTGCTCTTTCATAAATTCTACTATCAGAAAATAGGTCCAGCAAAAGACTATTTAAAAAAAAGAGTTTTCATTTAACAAAAGGTTATGGTTCAAAGATTAGCTGAGCTGCCATGGAGTGATAATCTGGTGTTTATTGCTAATTATGGAAGCGCTGACCAGTCATCCAGTGTGATCAGCACCATGCTAATCTGCTCACGATGGCCACATCCTGCTTCCTGCAGTCAGGGGGAGATAATCCTGGATAAGTGGATGGGATAATATATCCTATATCTCCCAGCAAACTAGCAACAACAAAAGCAGTAAGATAACAGTGTTATCCCCCGAGGTGAGGATGTGTATACACACAGCCACTAATCTGTCCCCGGGCTGTGTGGACGCTGCTGTTGTGTTGATCTGAAGCGGGGATGAAGGAGGAGGCTGGGACTTATCAGGGATCACTTGAGATGGTGACAACAAGAGGGGATTGTTTCCACAAACTCATCAAATTTCATGAAACGATGATCAAAGGGGATAAGAATCTTTACTCTGAAATTATCAAAAACAACTTTTAACACTTTTCAGAAAGGAAACAGAGTAATGTAATCAACATTTCCACATGCTACATACTCTCTTGGAAAATGAACAGCTATACATTCTGCAAATGTAGCTATTGTCTGTCTCTCCCGTGAGCTCAGCGCATCACAGTCCACATATTCTACCCTCCATGACAGGAATGATTATGGAAGTCTTAATGACTCACCAGAAACATGTTTCCTTTCCACAGAACAGAACACTGGCCCTTGGCAAGATAAACTGACACCTTACCTACAATGCTGCCCAACTGAAACAGTACAAGTGTGTGTGTTGGTTGTTTACTGATGCACACAGCAATCCAGTTGTGATCAGCACAGGCGGCTAGAGACCTAGACTATCAGTTAGTCTATGAAATCTTATATAACACAATATTAAACAAATATTTTTTTCTGATGCTTATGTGGAATAGAGCTTTTTTCATAAAATATATATATTCCACAGTCATGGTGCAGGACTATTAGAGACCATGAATCCAAATGTAACTGTTAGAGAAGGAGGGGGGAGGGTAGGTTGGGGTAGGGGGAGGGGGGAACTGGGAAGAAATAGAATTGTGTACCCCTGCATATTGTGTCTGTACTCGCTGTGGAAGTCGTGGAGTTCCTGAAGTAGACCCTGCTCCATCATGGCGTCCACACGGGTGTCCAGGCGGGCGTCCAGCACTGAACACAATGCAACTAGTGACAACAACGTGCAATCTATTTTATGACAAGACAAAATGGTGTTTGCAGACCACCAAATCCAAACCACAGAGGTTGGAAGAACTCTCTGATATCTGTGAGACACATCTCCTTGGGACAACAGAGTACATTGTTTTGTACAAATGACATTTCATACATTTTCCTTTCTTAAAGATTAAATATTTCTTAATGTATTTCTTAAACTGACATAGGGGCAAATATGACAAAACCAAGGAATTACAATCCTTCACGTGGGACATACAACCCATAATTCCCTGCCATTTCTTGTGTCCGTGTAGAAACACAGGAGTTTGTTAGACGATGCTTGGACTGTAGTCCAGTTTTACTATAGCGATATTACAATATTAAGTATGATTTGTTTGTTTGTTTGACGCCTCACTCAGCAATATTCCAGCTATATGATGGTGGTCTGTAAATAATCGAGTCTGAACCAGACAATCCAGTGATTGACATCATGAGCATCGATCCACGCAATTGGAATACTATAACATGCATCAACCTAGTAAGCAAGCCTGACCACCCGATCCTGTTAGTCGCCTCTTATGACAAGCATAGTCACCTTTTACGGCAAGCATGGGTTGCTGAAGACCTATTCTACCCCTAAACAAACAATTTTATGGACACCAACTTCTAATTTATGTTGTTATCCATAAGGTGGTTTATTTTGTTTTTTATTCTCCAACTTCTGGAATGCCATCAAACAGATGGTACTGACAAACCACAACTCACTTCCAACCCATGATATCGGTTACTGCACTCCTAAGGGAGACAACTCTTCCCAGCAACTTGCCAATGAACAAGTAAGCTAATGAAGCCCAAGGTTGTGTATGAGACAGAAGACAAGGTGGGGGGCACTTAGAGTTAACTCCATCATCTCTATTTCATCAGCAAATGTAGAAGATGATGTTGCAGAGTTTACGGTAGTAACTAACTGTGTTTTCAGATTTGCCTCCCACCTCTCTGATCACACTGTATCCAGAAGATGCAAGTCTTTTCATATCTCGCTGGTCCGCTGATAGCCGCCGCACCTCCTGCTGATGCATGCTGGGACTTCAGGATGTCGCTCAGCGGAACTCCATGTTGGCCGTACACTTCCAGCGCTCTGTGTCGGGGCAGCCAATGAGGAGAGACTAATGCTACAGGTGTATCAGCAATATAATATATACCGTAATCAACATAATTTGTGCCACTATCTTTATTACTTCTCTGATGCCCCCCTTGTGTGTCGCAATCACCACCTTGCTGCCGTACAATACAACATCTGTGTTCAGTGCTGAATGAAGTACGAAAAACATGAAAAAAATATGTAAATATTGAGTTTGTTCGATCAGTGAGTTAGTGACTGAAGAAGTTTGGAAGGAGTATCACTAGAGTACCCTAAAAAGCCCTAGTACTCTTACTGTCTACAAGTAATCAATTGTGGCCACCATCGTACCAAGGAAAAGAATACTACTACATTGACTGTACACAGTAGAAAGTTCGGCTTCAATGATAACAAACCTGATAATTTTCCTGCGATTATGTGGATGAATTTTTTTGGCAGTTGCAGGATCCACTAATGTCAATTGTCTGTGAAGCTCGGAACTCTCAATATCTTTGAATCCCCCTTCTCGATCTGTTCCTCGGTCAATCGAAGCCTTTCTACTGCCTTCCAGAGTTATCTCCCCTTTGTCCTCCGGAATTGCCTCCCCTTTGCCTTCCAGAGTTACTTCACCACCCAGAGAAGCCTCCGCCACTTGAGGAGCACCTGAGTTGAAGCAACATGCATCTGATGTAGGCATTGGTCCACATGGAGAGGAGGCAGTGCCAGATTCTCTTCTACCATTTCTCCTTGTCAGGTTTTCAGCTGACAGGGCTCGATTTTAAGACTGGATCAAACTTGCAGCAGAGGCATGTAGGCATGAAACCTAGATGCTCCAGACAAAACCAGGTTGCACCCTGGTCCCATAAATCTAGGCCTGTCTGCTACCAGTAAATTAATAACATGTTGCTGTAAAAGGTTGAAGGAACATGTGCTAGGATCTTGAAGTACCCACAGTTTGACGATGTCAAGCCCAACAGAATGATAAATTATACATAACACAGGGATTAGGAATATACACTAATCGACAAAAGAAACATGGATACCATACATGTTGGTTAATATATGTAAAATTACTCATATTCAAGACATATTAGATTGGTTCGTTGCACAAGCAAACAAACTGGTATGTTGTGTGAAGCGACGTTCACGAACACATCACATGCCATGCTCACCAGGTCTTGTGGATGAAGCACCACTTGTGGTCAGTTGTCCTGAAGGAGTTGCACCAGCTCCTGGAGACCGTGGACGTTCCCTTTCATGTATGACTGGACCAGAGTTGGACATTCTTGACTTCTTGGCCTCAGGACATTCATCTTGGGCCTGAGAAACGAGAACATCCAGATTTAGAATGACTAAGAAAACCATGATCTGCATAAAGAAACATTCTTTGTTACTAATTTGATCTTAAAATTATAACCAATGAAATACATATATGAATACCTGGGTAACACAAACCCAATTAGAAACAAAATCATGTAACCAAACACTGACTGTCTTGTGAAGATTGTGAAACAGATCAACTCTTGTGTTTCAGTAGCATGGGTACCCAGGAGTTGACCGACCCACCCACCCACCCACCCACCGACCAACCGACCGACCGACCGATCAACCTACCGACCTACCACCCCCCGACTGACCGACTCACCCACCAACCGACCGTCCGACTCACTCACTCACTCACTCACTGATTTTCAAGTAGCATCATGGCCTCATTTGATTAAACTATGTCTCACTCTGTGTCATAAGTCAGTACTTTAACCACAAGCCCCCAACAGCTCCTTCAAGAATATCAATTCTAAGGCATTCAGTATTTTACACTATACCACACAAACCACAGACAGTAATTACAATGATTAGTGTCGCTTGACAAAAATATAAAAGACAAATTTAAGAGCATTTAAACGAAGAATCAAAGTCAAATATAAACAAATATTGGAACAGTTTGTTGGACTTGGCGTGAACTTGACAGTGAACTATTGGTCAAATACAAAGTGATTAGTGTCATCCTGCAGATCCTGACTCCAGGTCCAGACTCCGGGTAGACGCAGACGTGGAGTCAACTGGCGTTTAGTCATTGTACAATTAGCAGTCGGTAATCAACTGTCGGCCACACGAGCCACATATTTGTAAACATGAGGCGGACAATCTACCGTACAAACAGTTTGATTGCTTCTCACTTTCGGTAATCATTCCAATTTAAGACAAGTTCATTTGCCTGGCAAATAAGTCAGTGTGTTTAATCTTCATTCAACACACTTTAAATTCTGCGACATGCCGGTGATTCAGCAGGCAAGAGGAAGAGTCGTGAATCCAACAGCTGAAGCACGTGTTTATAGAAACAAACAGAAATAGTGTATTGACAACAGCCATGTCTACACCTCCAATTGTGGGGACCATGTCAAATCTTACAGAAGCAATTTGTGTCCGAATTCTTAAAACACTGAAATAAGGCCTAAAGTAAGTGTGTAGTCCTGGTAACCAGACTCAAGGCTTGTCCGAGAAGAAATGACCGCTTGTAAATGGTAGGTTTGTATAATACTGATACAAATACCGGGTAGGAGCTGTGTCAGTCCACCATGAGCTTGGGGTAACAGTTGTAGAAAGTCAACAAGCGTGAGCTTCAGGGAACCCTACAGAAATACAATTTCAGATACAATTTTTGCCGATCCTTGCATTAAAAATCCTATAAAGTTATATCATTGGGTGTGTCTTGACCGAATCACCGGTCGATTCCAAGAAAACGTGTGTACGCTGATTGCTGTTTCCGTCTTAGTTTACGAGAAAATACACAAGGTAATCTTAATCCCTGGATATAAAACAATGCCTCAGAACAATAAATACTATTTAAACGGTAAATAAACATGTCTGGTGATTTTTTATCTCAAATTTAGAATTTGTACTGACAAAGTTTTTCCTCACCCGTTCGTTTGCCGGACTTCGCTGAAAGGGTACGGTTTAATTTTTTTCTGCGTATAATATTCAAATTTCTTTTTTTCCAAAATATTGAACCCGCTAGAGGGGGGTGCGCATTATACATGGGTGCGCACTATACTCAAGAAAATACGGTAGTTGTGTTCATTATCATCTCAACAGGGGGATCCCTGTCTGTTTCGAGCAACATGACTACATGCTAATACCTCATGCTCCTTAGTGCATGTGACAGTCATTTATCAAGGGCAGATGGTGGGGGATGTGTGAATGTGCTGGTGGGTGAATGTGTTGCTGGGTGAATGTGTTGCTGGGTGAATGTGTTGCTGGGTGAGTGTGTGAATGTATTGCTGGGTGAGTGTGTCGGTGTGTGAATGTGTTGGTGGGTGAATGTGTTGGTGGGTGAATGTGTTGGCAAATTCAGAAGAATCAGAATATTTATTGTGCAAAACACCCATCTTTAGGCAAACAGCAAAAAAAGCACTTGACCTTTAGATTGCACCTTCATTAAGTTCAGAGCAGATTGACACACACACTGTGTACATACCACTGCTCTTCCCATCCCATACAAAGAAATCTGCATGTTAGTCTAACTTTTCCATTCAATATACAGAAGCACTATAGCAGCATCAAGTAAATGCTTTCATCCAGTGTAGCCGTATTGGGAGTAGAACCCAGCTATTTCGGTGAGAAGCTAACACCTTAACCAGGCTACCCTTCCATTCCACCCTCATTCAACAGAACTAGTGTCCACATACACATGGTAACAACTGTAGTAAACACGTGGGCTGAGGAAGGGTTAAACTTCACCAACATACAGTCTAGGAAATCTTTTATTACACAATACATTTCTCTCATCAAAAATGATTTTTTTTCCCTGATGTTATTTTCATAGAACGTGGAATAGAGCTGGCCAGGCTGCACTAGATTGGTCCTGATTTCATAGAATATGGAATAGAGCCAGCTAGGCTGTTACATTGGTTCTAGTTTCATGAACTCTATATATTTGTTGTTTGTATCTTGTTTTATGCCGCTCTCAGCAATATTCCAGCCATATGACGGCAGTCTGTAAAAAATTGGGTCTGGACCAGACAATCCAGTAATTGACATCATGAGCATCATTCCACGCAATTGGAATACAATAACAGGCATCGACCACATCAGTGAGTCTGACCACCCAATCCCATTGGTCACCTCTTACGACAAGCATAGCCGCCTTGTATAGAAAGAATGGGCTGCTGAAGACCTATTCTACCCCGGATCTTCATGGGTCTACATATTCAAAGTGATGGTCCGGATAGGGTTAACCTGCACCATGTGTTTGTCAGGAGCTGGTCAAGGCTGTGCTAGGAGTGAGCAGCTGGCCTCTTAGACTTGCACAAGTCTCCAAGGCAATAATTATAAGTTTAAATCATAATTACTAGATTATGTAAATAATAAGAACAAGTTGTCTCTATAAGAGACTGTACTGTCCACATATCTAGACTTGCCCATTTGGAGCACAGAATTACTACACATTCATAGACATATCTTTCAGTAGAGCCTGGGAGCAAGGCTACTGGCCTCCTTCCCGTGACCTGCTTGTAGCTGGACATGTGATAGCCCTCCATTAGCCACCAAGGCTCCATCCCCAACACGGCCCCTGACCCGGGGATGGCCGACCCACATCAAACAGAGGAGGGGTCAAGAAACTGACCAGTCCTGTCCCCGGCAGTGACCGACTGTGCTAATGATCGGTTATTGAACAGTTTGTTTTCAAGCAATTCTGACAGTAAATGGTTGGCAATTGCTAGGGTCTTCTGAAATATGAAACTGATGACTGACTGACAGCGGCTGTGTCAACAGAGCAAACAGACACATGCCTACATCACCATGGGTACATACAGTACAAGCCCCAACACTGACTGTATTGATCTCAGTTTTTTACAACTGTTCAAACAGCAAGAGTTAGGGGTTGTTGGTTATGGGTGGGTGAGTTGCTGTTTGCTTGGGTGATTCTATGGGTTTGAGTTAGTGAGTGGAGTGGAGTGGACTGGAGGGAGGGAGGAGAGAGGGGGGGGGGGGGGGGGGGGGGGACTGGAGTGGAGGGGAGCATGTGAGTCAGCCAGTGATGAGTGACAAAATGTTTGTTGATTAGAAAAGACTTGTTGAGACAATTGAATGTTTCTGCTATAAATCAACTTTGTGTTATCTTATGTTATCAATGGGACAATCTAAACCTCACTGTCAGTATTAGACTCATCCCCAGAACACACTAATGTCCTCATATTCCAGGTTCAACTACATACAACACATGACTGATGAAGTGAGAAACAAAATCAGATACTATTCCACCAAAACACTAATCTCCCGGTCAAGTCCGATATGCCCATTAAGATTGTGGTCAGATGCTCTCTGATCTGTGCCGTGGCCTGCAGCGGGGAGTGTGGCTGACGTGGGACAGCCGCACCTGTCAGTGAGTGAGTGAGTGAGTGAGTGAGTGAGTGAGTGAGGAGCAGCATCCATCACACAGCGCCTAGATGTCAACATCTCCACCTGCAATGCATACATCCTCCCAAGTAGCCAGCAAGACAACACTAAGGCAGCTACTAGCACAACAACACTAAGGCAGCTACTACCACGACAACACTAAGGCAGTTTCTATCACTACAACACTAAGGCAGCTTCTATCACTACAACACTAAGGCAGCTACTACCACGACAACACTAGGCAGCTTCTATCACTACAACACTAAGGCAGCTTCTATCACTACAACACTAAGGCAGCTTCTATCACTACAACACTAAGGCAGCTTCTATCATTACAACACTAAGGCAGCTCCAACACGACAACACTAAGGCAGCTTCTATCACGACAACACTAAGGCAGCTACTACCACGACAACACTAAGGCAGCTTCTATCACTACAACACTAGGCAGCTACTACCACGACAACACTAAGGCAGCTTCTATCACTACAACACTAAGGCAGCTACTACCACGACAACACTAAGGCAGCTTCTATCACTACAACACTAGGCAGCTTCTATCACTACAACACTAAGGCAGCTTCTATCACTACAACACTAAGGCAGCTTCTATCATTACAACACTAAGGCAGCTCCAACACGACAACACTAAGGCAGCTTCTATCACGACAACACTAAGGCAGCTTCTATCACGACAACACTAAGGCAGCTCCAACACGACAACACTAAGGCAGTTTCTATCACTACAACACTAAGGCAGCTTCTATCACGACAACACTAAGGCAGCTCCAACACGACAACACTAAGGCAGCTTCTATCACGACAACACTAAGGCAGTTTCTATCACTACAACACTAAGGCAGCTTCTACCATTACAACACTAAGGCAGCTTCTACCATTACAACACTAAGGCAGCTTCTATC